AGACTCGGTTTGATTTAGTCTGTACATGAGGGAAAATGAATACGTGCAACATCCTCACGTCCCCTAGTACCGGCTTAAGCGGTACTCAATTCTCAACACTCAATAGTGCAAGATATAGTCTAACCTTTTAATGTGAATGATAGACAATGGAATGATATAATCATATGTTGATATAAATAAAAACAAACTTTGAAATGTATGTTTGTATTTATTCATTTTGTATATAGCAAGAAAACAAAAAAAAAACATTGTCTTTGTTCTTTTTAATGATATCCAGTCTATTTTAGTCTTTTGAGATTTTTCCGCCTTTTTACTTGCTTTTTCCATTATCCGGAAGGTGGTAATGACATTTGTAGGCTCATCTTCCGTTACTTCTGCAAACCCTTTGGTTTTCGACTGCAACATGCGTTGAATTTTCCGTAAGGCACCAAAATAAACTTTTCTATTATGCCAATACCGATTCCAAATACCCGAAAGCGATTTGCACCAAGGTGTAGACCACTCAAGGGTTAAGCCCGTTGTCTTTTTTTCGTCCGAAACAGATTGACCTTTTTGGGAGCAGATGAATAAAAACCCTTTGACTTTTAATTTTCTCAAAAAGGCGTTTTTTAAAAGGCGAAAAACTTTTATGGGGAAATTTTAGTAAGAGTTTTTCAATTGCGGGAGTAATTTTATTTTAAAAAAAATTTCCCTTTCCCCCTTTTGTGTCGTTTTTTTAAATTTTTAAAAAAAAAAAAAAATTTTAAAAAAGGGTTTTGCGGCCCCCAATTGGTTATTTTTCTTAAAAATTTTTTCCCCCCAACTCTTTTTTTTAAGTTTTTTTAAAACCATTTAAGGGAAAAATTTTTTTTTTTTTTCCCATTTTTGCTATCCCTAAAATGATGCCCCTTTTTTACCTGCCTGAAAAAAGTGCCTTTTATAAAAAGAATTTTTTTTACTTTTAGCGATGGGCCCCGGGGAAATTTTTAAAACCAAATTTGGGCCTCAAAAAAATTTAGGGTTTTTTTTAAATCTACTGATCTTTCTATTTAATATTAAAACTAGGGCTTATTCTTTCTTAATCTTTTCCCAGACAAAAATTTTTAATGAAGTTCATTTTTCCCCATCCCCTTTGCCCTAAAACATTTTTTTTTAGCTTAATTTTATACTGTCCTTTTGAAGCTCCCTACAAATAAACTAATTCCCTTCATTTTATCTTTAAAAAAAGGGTTTTAACGGGGTGCTGTAGAGCAATTTTTGGGCCCCAATTCTAAAAAATAAAAATTTTCCCAAAAAAAAAAGGGGCTATAACTTATTTCAAAAAATTTTTTTTTTTTTAGGGGGCCTTTTAAAAAGGTGATTTTCCCAAAATATGAACCCTAAAACTTTGTATCAATTTTAAAGGGGAACATTTAAAAAATTTTTTCCAAAGTTTAAAAACGTTCCCATTTTAAATTTTTTAAAACAAAAATTTTCAAATTTTAAAAAAAAAAAAAATTCCCCAAATAAAAAAAAATTTAATCTGAATTTTTTAAAAGGTATCTAAACCCCAACTGAAAAAATCTCGTGCCAAAGCTTATTTACTCATAACCAAACATAGTGTCTCTTTTCCCAAAGGGATTTAAACCTTTCCTCGAAAAAAAAGGGGAAATAGAAAAATTTCGGGGGCCCCACTATTTTTGTATCCCCGTTAAAAAGGATTTAAAAAAACCCACCCTTTTGGCCACAAATTAGAAACTCGGGGCCAGGACTTTAGTTTTTCTCTTTTCCCACGCCTTTGCTTCCCCCCTTTGGTTACGACTTGGGTAACTGGTGGCCAGGGGATTTAGTAACTGGGTTACACACATAGTTTTCTCCGGGATACGAGAAAAATAAAACACACAAAATTGTCCTCTTTGTGAAACCGTACGTTCCCACACAAATTTTTACTAAATGCCTACGACAAAATTTTAAATAACAAAATAATAATCGGGGCAAACTTAGAAATTCCGGCCCCGACTAAGTAACTCGGGGCCCAAAAACAAAGTTTTCTCGGGCGCAGAGAAAAAATTTTAAAAAAAAATAAATTCCCCTTTTTGTGCCCCCAAATTGGGGGGCTGACATGCAAGTCGAAGTTTTTTGAAAAAATCAAAGAAAACGATGCGCCCGGGCGAAAAGTGCGGGGTTTTTTTAAATTTCGGCCAAGCTTTGGTGAAAAAAATGTAATAATGCCCTTTTATAACAAATTCTAAAAATTTTTGGCCCCAAAAAAAAAAACCTCTTATAAAAATTTTTTCTACAATTTTTTAAAACGTGTGCCGTACCGTATGTCCCTTTAAAAGTAAAATTTTTGAATTTAAAGAATTTAAGATATAAAATCCCGCAAAAACGTGACTTTTAAAGCGGTACTTCTATTTACTTAAATATTCATATCGCTTTCATAACAATAAATTTCTATATTTATGTTTCAAACATTCAATATTTCATAGATACTTTAGTACACATTTCGTACAGTAAGAAAATGTTTATGTGTGGGTTTATTGTCCTTTGTAAAAGTTTGATAATGAATATTTTAATTTCCGTAAGTATCCATAAACGCTATCATTCATAACTTGTTGAAATGACCATTCATTCGTTTTATATAAAACGGTGGCAACGAGATGACATTTGTGCGTTATTAATTTATCTGGTGGGCATGAGATAGTATACTATGCCGTGGCCACGATTTACTAAGTCGTTGCCACGAGATAATTAAGTGGTGCGCACGAAATACTATGTTGTGGCCGCAAAATAATAAAGTTGTGCGCACGAGATATTATGTCGTGACCACAAGTTACTAAGTCATGGGAACAAGATGATTAAATTGTGCGCACGAAATAATTAACCAATCAGATTACAACTTATAATTATATATGATTTTTTTAAACTGGTTAAAGTTTAATATCCAACATTAATATTTGAAAATACTGAATATATTCACTTTAAATTTGATACATATCTTTAGGATCATTTTAGAAGGTCACTTTCTTAGGCTGATGAATCAGACATTAATATTTGCCAAGGCAATAGCCCTTTGTGGTCAGTATGTACGTAAGGACGGCCCTTTAACCTTGTTTATACGATATCTTGAGAAGGAATAAGCCATGGTTTATTTTAATTGGTAGGGACATTGTCACTGGCCAGTAGATAACCTATATAGATGTTTGTGGTCAAGGTAACCATAATACTTCATGTCAAATCCTTGTCTGATGAATGATTGAGAGGGAATAAGATCATTTCACCTGATCAGTAGATAACACTTAATAATTTTGAGGTCATTGGGTTAATAATCAGGATCACAATGACCCTAAATATTAAATAATTCTCCAATCAATTACTTGTGTATATGACACTATGACAGGCAGGTGAAGTAGGGACAAGTGAGTCACTAAGTCACTGGTTGCTATGGAAGTCACTGGTTGCTATGGAAAGTCATTTGTTGCTATGGTATGCCAATGGTTGCTATGGTTATCACTATTTGCTATTGAATATAAATTGTTTATATGTAAGTCAACGGTTGCTAAGGTCAATGATTGCAATATTGATCACTACCTGCTATGAAAAGTCAATTTTTGTCATGGAACGGAACTTATTGCTCTTGAAAGTCACTGGTTGGTAAAGAGGTATATGGTTGCCATAGAAAGTCAATGGTTGCTATGGGGCCTCCGTGGCCGAGTGGTTAAGGTCGCTGACGAGATCACAGGTCCCTCACCGCTGTAGGTTCGATCATCACTGGGGTCGAAATCTTTCATGTGAGGAAAGCCATCCCAGCTGGCTAACGGAAGGTCGGTGATTCTACCCAGGTGCCCGCTCGTCCTGAAATAATGCCCGGAGGGGCACCTAGGGTCTTCCTCCACCAATAAAGCTGGAAAAAAATCAACGAAAAAATCTCAGCGGGACGCTCTAGGATGGCCCGACTAGAGTGTACGGTCGCCCATATGGGCTTTCCGGCGGCGACCTTAAATAAACGCATTCAAAAAAAAAATGGTTGCTATGTTAATCAATGGTTGCTATGTTAGTCACTTGCTGCTATGAGAGTCAATGGTTTGTGTGGAAAGTCACTGGTTGCCATGGAAGTCACTGGTTGTTATGGAAATGCATGATTGCTATTGAAAGTCAATAGTTGCTATGGGAGTCAATGGTTAATATGGAAATCACTGGTTGCTATGAGAAGTCACATATAAGGAAAATCTATGTTCTTTCTTGTCAAGAAACTTCTTTCTTGTCAAGAAACTAAGCTTTGGCTCTTGTAGTTTTAGAGGAGATTTTTTTCCCAAGTTTTTACTATATATATACATAAGGAAAATCTATGTTCCCTCGAGGCAGGGCAAATTTTGACCCAAGGGCTATAGTTTGAACAATTTTCATAGAGGTCCACCAGACAATGTTTCATATTAAATATCTAAGCTTAAGCCTCTATAGTATAGTAGAATATTTTTGTTTGTTTTTACTATATATACATATAAAGAAAATCAATGACCCCCCTGGGGCTGGGCCAATTTTGACCAAAGGACTTTAAACAGAACAAACATAGAAGAGGTCTACTAGATAATGTTTCATGTAAAAAAATACTTAAGCTCTTGTAGTTTTGGGGTGCAATTTTTTTCAATGTTTTTACTTTGTTATATCTATGCTCCCGGCAAATTTTGACCCAAGAGCTATAATTTGAACATTTTCTGTAGAGGTCCACCAGACATGTTTCACACCAAATATCTAAGCTAAAGCCTTTTTAGTATAAAAGAAGAAGTTGTTTTTTTTTCACTATATACATATAAGAATCAATGAACCTTGGGCGGGTCGATTTGGACCCAAAAGCTATAATTTGAATAATGTTTATAGAAGTTCACTAGACAATGTTTCATGCTAAATAAAGAAGATATTTTTAAGTTCACTATAATAATCTATGTAACAAACAAACATACATATACACACACAGGTGAATTGCTATATGCCACCTCATCGCAGATACTGCGGTGGCATAAAAAATACCATCAACAAAACTGTGTAATTTACGAGTTTATTCTGAGTTAATAACAGTCTTGTAAAACAAAATACATCAATGTAAAAACTAAGAACATAATCTCAGATCCTTTATTAAACTTAAAATAGAAAGATGCTTTTTTTCTGTATCTACATCAACTTTGTAATAAAGACAACTATGCTGAACTTAAATAGCATCTTATTGTCTAATTGTGAATACCAAACAACAAGGTTTACTTGAATGTCTAACAGTAAATGTGCCACCATTGAACAGAGAATTGTTTTAAACTGACTGGGAATTTTATTTAGAATAACAGCACTTTTTTTTTGAAAATCTCAACATAGACCAAAGGCATTCCTAACTTAGCTCTAATGTGCATAAGTTAATCTCCAAGAGGATCATTTAAGTTATACTATACCATGAAAAACAAGAACAAATCAGTATAATCAATGGATTCTTTTTGGATTTATTTTAAAAAGAAATGGCAAAACTAAATTGAAAGATAAGAAATCTATTTTAAGCCCTGCGGCTTATTAACCTAATCCCCCTTAACCCACAAAAAAAGGGTATAGGTGCCATGTTAGTACCAAAATTCTACAATAAATATCATTAAATGTAGGTGCTTTGAAAGTCGTGCAATGGGAAAGTTATACAGAATGAAGTACAAAGTAGTTACTTGGTTATTATTTCCTCCACTGAAAAAATGTCTGGGAACATAAAAAAGTATTTGTGCTTTTTATTTCCAACCGAAACATATTTTTTAGAATATAACTGAAATGACACTAAAAAGAAATTACCAATTTAAATACTAATTTGGGACCTTGTTTTATTAGCCATTTGTCATACTGGCAACTTGATTCAGTAAACTAACAAAAGATATAATACTTACAATTAAAGCAACTTACTAGTATATATTTACAAACAAAAAAGATTTTTAAGCTATACAGTAACAAGTACCGAGACTTATACTTCCAACATACAGTCTATGTTCCCATGTATAAATATTCTGCTTTAATTCAAAAGTGTGACATGAAAATATTAGAGAGATAAAAAAGAAACCAACTGCTGTCACTATAATTTATAAATAAACAAGCACAAATTACACCATAAAAAAAATATAAATAAATTAAAAACAAGTTTATATCAAGAAATGTTATTGTACAAGCACAACCTTGCAGAATGCCAAATTATGTAGCTGATCAATAAAATTGTGTGACCTATATAGGTTATAAAAGTCTTTTTCTGAGCTCTGTCTCAAAACTTTTCATTGGTCAATGTACATCAATCAAATTAGACAACTTTTTTTAACCTTTGACCAAGGGTCCAAGGTTATAAAGAAATTTTCCCATCTCAAACTCGTATGATACTATCTCAGGTATTTGATTGGTCAGAAAGAGACAAAGTGACCAATGAAAATCCTCAGATTGAGACAGAACTCAGAAAAAAAGTTTTATAACCTTGAGGTTAAGGAATAACTGTTTTGAAGAAAACACTGAGGAAAAGTCCTCTAAAAGTAAGATGAATGTCACACTACATAAATAAAGGAAAGAGATGTATACTAAATCATACAACAATTAACAGATATATATGATGTATTATGTGCCGAGAATAATTTTTTATCCTAAAATCTAACTCTACCATAACATTCCATAACAATAGCACAATATACATCAACACATTGTGTTAACATTTAAATATAATCAGTCCCTTTTACTTTGAATTTTTTAACAACCAACTTCCTCTATACGGTTTACTGTATACGTTTTACTTCTGCTTATGAACTGACATTACGCCGCCTGTCAATCAAGCTGACAGGGGTCTTACAAATAAGCCAGATGGCGATCCTTATCAGTTTCACACTAAGATGTCTGCAAAATCCGCCATTTTCCTTAGACAAGCTATTTGTATAAGACAATGGTGCAGCAGTATTTATATTGAAATTATTTTGATATTTTGTCAATTTAAAGCTATTAAATCGGTATATCAAAGTTACCAACTATCCTGACATATTGACAGATGGAGTCAGTCAGTTTATTTTACAAAAAATATCAGTAACTTTGTATATATGAAGATAATTAGTTATATAGCAGGTAAAAAAGCAGAGACATAGATATTATCTAGATTATACCTACATCTCTGACGAAAGTTAAAATAGAGAGAAATAAAGAACATACATATATTATACTACCAAGTTACGCAAGGCCAATTTTCTCATTCAATTTTTACAATTTATGCACAAATGCATTATATATAAGTGATTTTACACATAAAACCCTAAAAAAAATTGTAAATGTTACTGTGTCATTGATATAATTTTACTATTTATATGTTCCGCTACTTCAATTTTAAGTGTCTTTGAATTTGTAAACTAAAATGATATTTTGTCATGAAGTCAACGAGAAATATAACAAGATCTTTGCCAAACGTTTTATTCATAATTAATGCATGAATGCAGTTATAAGTTACTTTTTTAAATACCATAATACATTGAACTATCCATAAAATTTTATATATACCAATTTATTTAAGGTAAATTCATTAGTAACTTAAGTGGCATAATAGTCTCCAGTAAACGTCGGTCCCGTGTTTTGTCTTAGGTTCTGAATGACCGTGTCACGTGAATCAGTGGGCGGAGCAATCTCTTCTCTGACGTAATGTCAATTACTTAACAACCAACTCTGACTTTTTATATAAAGAATAATAGATTTTACCACAAACATTGACATGTGCTCTTTTGTTAACAAACATATTGTGGTGAAATATGTATTGTATCCACTAATCTGATAATAAGAGTTAGACAGATTCAGGATCTATGCATAGCCATTACACTGAACAACATAGCATTGAAACAAATTACATCCAAGCTATTACAGTAAAATTTGAAATCACAACTTTCTCACATTTATCTTGTCTGCTGAAAATAAATGTAGTTATTCTAACTAAATCAAAGCATATTGCAACCTTACATAAAATCACACTTGCACGCTTACACACAAAAATTTATTCATACACGCTCATAAAACAGTTACTTAAACTTACTAGAATATAAAATTCCTGAAGAACTTCAATGTTACTTTTTAGTAGATTCCAGTTTAATTATGGGTATCCTTGTGTTAACATTCCTATATCTAATAAATTATCATAATAACAAAATATATATAACAATACAAATAAAACATGTTAAAGTTAACTAATAATCTATTAGCAGTTCAGATATCTCATTTCTTTTAACCATACTTGGTGAACAATATTTGACTTCTTATCTAAAAATAAACACAGGGAATTAACAGTACTGTATAAGTGGTAAGTTAGCAACATGGAAATATTGTGAAATTAAAAAATTTCTCCAGCGAAAATATCAACCAACCTGTCATTAAATTCTACCTTTGCATGATTTGCTAATATTTCCTCATGTGAAAGGTCTGTAATTTTAAATTTGCTAACTTTTTGACAAGCAGAAATATCAACTTATACAGCATTTAACTTAATGATCTTAAAACAAGTATGATATAAGAGCTGTGGTCATACATAATTGAAGATTACCAATATTTACTTCTTTTTTTTTGTGACTCTTGTAGAAACTGTGAAGTTCTTACCAGCAGAATCAAGTATGGCTAACCAGCATAAAAGTTTAATCTGACCACACTGTATTCTTTCTGGCTGTCTGTCTTTAATTTTTTTGAAAGTCATACCCCTATAATTGATAATGGACTGTTTCAAAAATGTGAATCCGACATGTACATTAAAACAATGCAGCAGATGAAGAGTTACAGCATTTCATATACACAAGCTGTCTTTGTTCTTCTTATATCCTTCATGTTATCAAAGTATCTCAAGTTTCAAAGAGGTACACACAATTCTGTATGTTCATTTAAATATTTCATTATAAAATACTTTATTTTGTATTCTTTGGTAAGCTTTTAAACTATATATAGCAACAGTAGCCAGAAAACCCACACAAACTGACCAATCTCTATATCTCTATATTATTTGCTGTTCAATTTACTAATTCTATATACTTGGTATAAAAATCCTGTGAAAAAAAACAAAACAATGGTCAGTTCTGATTTCAAGATGGGTTAAGTGTTTAACAAACATACTGTCAATGGGAAATAATTAAAGATCTATACATCACAGTCAAATTTCCTTCATCAAAAACAACATATTACAATCATGTCTTTCACTCAGTGTTTACGAAAAACTTTTAAAATTAAAATAGCTGCCAAAATGTTATTTAATGTTAAGAACTTTTTTCACAGATCTTATAACATTAATGTTTTGTGGTAGAGCATTTTCTTCTAATGTCTTAGTATAGGGCATAGGTACATCTGCTCCTGTTACACGTAGGACTGGGGCATCCAGGTAGTTAAAAGCTGGACCTGAAAATTTACAATTAGTCCTTTTATAATCAAAGGTATTTGCAGAGTAAAACAAGCAATTATCATAGTATTGCGAGCAATCCATAAGTCCCCTACCGGTAAGAGCCCAAGCAACATTCTGAAGGGCAATTGGCCATTCACTTAGGTTCCTATTTTAAGTAAATTTGTTGAAAAAGTTCTTGAAAAGTGATCACAGGAAACAGTTTTTATGTACAGACAGATAGACTGAAGGACACTCTAAAGTTATTTTTTAAACATCCCTGTTATCAAAATGTAACATTTTTTTAAATCCTATCATGATTGAAGAAGTTGGAGTAAAAATTACCAATTTCTCAAAAAAAAGTCTAAGTTCAAAAGGGGCATAATTCTGGAAATAGTCTTGCTAGAGTATTGAACACTCACAAATGTTGAGTGACAACAAGAAACATTTATATGAAGTTTGAAGTAGATACATTCAGAAAAAGAAGTTATTAAAAAAAAAAACAATGTTTTTTTCATTGAAAATTTTAAGTTCAAGGGAGGTAATTCTGATAAATTTTGTGCTAGAGTTGTAAACCTTGTCACATATGATGTGGTTGATGACAATCAACTTATATTTAAAGTTTGAAGAAAATACCTTAAGAAATAAAGAACTTATAGTGAAAAAACTTAAAAACTAGAATCAGAAATCTTGAAATTCAGTCTATTTGTTGCCATAGCAACCAGAATTTTCAACATAGGAAGATAAAAAAGGATGTGCATAATTTCCATACTGCCATCTACCCATATGTCAAGTTCATAAACATATTTTTCAGTACTTTTTGTGTTATCACTGGATCCAGGTTATGTGTAAAAATTTGCCATATTTTCAGTCTATTTGTTGCCATAGCAACCAGAATTTTCAACATAGGAAGAAAAGAAAAAGACGTGCATAATCTCCATACTGCCATCTATCCATATATTCAAGTTTCATAAAAATATTTTCAGTACTTCTTGCGTAATCGCGGGATCCAGGTTATGTGTAAAATTTGCCATATTTTCAGTCTATTTGTTGCCATAGCAACCAGAATTTTCAACATAGGAAGAAAAGAAAAAGACGTGCATAATCTCCATACTGCCATCTATCCATATATCAAGTTTCATTAAAATATTTTCAGTACTTTTTGAGTTATCGCGGGATCCAGTTTTGTGGACGGACGGACTGACGGACGGACAGACGGACTGACGGACGGACAGACGGACGGAGGGTAAACCTAAAGTCCCCTCCGGTAAACCGGTAGGGGACTAATAAGCATGAAACAACCCAGCAACTAGAGTGCAGTCTTTCAGAAAATTATACTTACATAGAAATCCCATAACAGCAATAAAGGATATGCTAGTTAAACTTAAAATCTTAATTCTGTTCATACATTTTTTTTTCTTTATTTCTTAAATAAAACATATGCAACCCAAGCCTTGACTCAACCAATAGTCAAATACTCAGATATAAAGATAAATAAAACAATAAGTGGTGGCCTGGCTGAGTGGTTAAACTGTTTGACTAGTAATCCAAGGAATGCGGGCTGGGTTGGTTCAAACACCCATCAGGAGCAAGCTGGTGTCTCCTTGATCAAGCAAGAAACTTCATATTCATTGCTTAGTACTGATTGATTTGAAGAATAATTCAATAGTGTGTCTATAAGCTTTTATTTCATGCTTTCCAGTGTTTTATTATAATATATCAGATGATTATATTCTGATAAACCACTAGTGAAATTTATAACATATAATTTTCACTGTAGCCGGACTATATCTGATTGCGGATGAAAAGAAAATCAAACTAAATGGAATATCAGGCAGAAATGAATGCCGCCATATGTAAATTTTGTTCTTTAGGAAACGAAAGTCGATGTTACCATACATCATGTTAAAAATGTAACAAAATTAGAGAATTTTAACAGAACTATATTTCAAAATTGATGATGTGACGTCATGAAGTGATGACGTCACAAAGGAGAATGCACGACGTTACGCGGCAAAATCAGTAAAAAATACTTAAAACCACTTAAAAAGCATGAAATAAAACAAAAATTTATTTGTTTTACATATAAGATTGAAATATATTTCATTCGTGAACACCAGCTATTATATTTTCACTCGTGGCTACGCCACTCGTGAAAATATTGCACCTGGTGTTCACTCAGTGAAATTATATTTCAATCTTACATTCAAAACAAACAAATATCCTCTATATTGTTTTCTTTAAAATCCAACAAAAACTAGAACTGCCACTGTCATGTCGTAATTACCCCTGCATACCACTTTGTCAGAATCAACAGTGACCATTTAGAGCTCAAGGACAATCACCCTGCCAAATCTGAGGTTACTTAGCCAGTGCATTGCTAAGTTATGTATTCTACATGCTTCAAATGTGAAAATGTCAAAATCAATACACTGCAGACAGCCATTCTTAAGTATTTGAGCAGACAAACTTGTTAAAGTAAAAATTCCTGTGACCTTGACCTTTGACACAGTCAACTAAAAATCAAAAGGGGCTACCTTCTAGTCATAAACAACCTCAATACCAAATATGAAGACTGTTGACCAAAGCATTCTTAAGCAATTGTGGGGAAAAGCTTTTTTTAGTCAAGGTCCCTGTGACCTTGACCTTTGGCCCAGTGACCTGAAAATCAATAGGGGTCACCTAATGGTCATGATCAACCTTCATGCCAAGTATGAAGACTGTGGGTCAAAGGTTTCTTAAGTTATTGGGCAGACAAACTTTTTGAAGTCAGTCCCCTGTGACCTTGACCTTTGACCCAGTGACCTCAAAATCTATAGGGGTCATCTACTAGTCATGACTAACCTCCATGCCAAATATGAAGACTGTTGGTCAAAGGAATCTTAAGTTATTGGACAGACAAGCTTTTTTAAGTCAAACTCCCTTTGACCTTGACCTTAGACCAAGTGACCTCAAAATCAACAGGGATCATCTACTAATCATGACTAACCCCCATGCCAAATATGAAGACTGTGGGTCAAAGTAATCTTAAGTTATTGGGTGGACAAGGAAAAACGGACAAATGGGGAGACGGCCGGACAAGCTGATTCCAGCATACCCCCCTTACAACTTTGTTTTGCGGGGGTATAATAAATTAAGTAATAGAAAGAGCATCAAAACACGAGGCTATCTGATGTGTACAACGGGGCGTAGCCCCCGAGTATAAATCAGATTGCCGAGTGTTTTGATGTTCTTTCTCTTTTGTATCATAGTCAAACATAAAAACATGTTCCCTGATACCACAATATGAAACCCCACAAAAAAGTAACCAATGAATGAGCATCTGAATATGATATTTCCATCGCTAACCCTTTCTCTGTCATCACAATATGTAAACCCGGACAAAATGAACCAATCAATGGGCATGCTCTGGAGTGCGTGTAACTAATACTTGCACTCCAGTAACGCACTGTGCATGTATATGTATACGATTTAACTCTGTCACATTTTCAACAGAAAGGTCCCCAAACTATGATACAAGTATAACTAAAAGGTAATATTTACAAAACCCATATAACTATAGCACCAACTATTGTGTATAAATATACATCTATTTTTGTATCAGATCTTAATTTAATTAAAGAATGCTGTACTACTAATTGATTTTTAATATGGGGACTGAAAGCATGATTTGAATGTAATTACCTTCTACAACTCTTGCACAAATTTCAGCACCAACTCCATACTGTGGCCAGCCTCCTTCTACAGTGACAAGATGGTGAGTTTTCATAACTGATTTAATTATGGTTTCCTCATCCAGTGGACGAATTGTCCTCAAATTGATTACCTGTTACAAAAAAACAACATTACACATGCATGAAAAAACAACAACAATCAAATGTTAAATCTTCTAATTAAGAATTAAGCAGAACAATGACACAACTCAACTGATTTACAACAACAATAACAACAAGACGTTCTAGTAGTGCTGAAATTATCACAAAACTCTAATCTTTTAAAAGATATATTTCATCCGTTTCATCTAGAATCAGTCTTAACTAATGGTAAGCAATGAAATAACTCAAGTTTGTGAAATAATGATTACTACTACATACACCCAATTAATATTAGTTTCATTATATGGCTTACATTGGTGTTTACTTTATCAATGAAAAAACATAGGCCAACTGATATTTAAAGTTATAAACTTGTCAATGCTTTCATTTCAGCTTTAGTCCCTAGGGAGCTGTGTATATTGCTCAATTGTCAATAAAATATGAAGGTATATAAAACTCAAAATATTTCTTTTCATTTTTTATGTAAACACATTCTCCCGTGGCCAGATGATGAATTAATAATGTCAAGCCTTAAAAGGTATTAAGCTATTTCCAATGAAACCATTTTATGAAATTTATGAATGGTAAAGTCATGTTATTTCCATTATATTACGGTCGATTCTAGCATGGGCCATTCACTCTAAAGGAAATATACAAACATATTTCTTTTCATATAAGTATTTTGGAAGAATTATTTTGTAAATTCAAGCAATAATGTTGTAAACTAAAGACAGCAGGTAATATAGCTTTATAGAATTAAATAACAATATGCCACAACTTACCTCACATTCTACACCAATCCCTGCAAGCTCTTCTGATGCACTTAGAGCTGTCCCAACAAACTTTGAATGTGCCACAAGTGTACAATGTTTTCCTGTGAATATAAATGAGCCGTGTCATGACAAAACCGTAATGTGTTTGCGACCAGCATGGATTCAGACCAGCCTGCGCATCCGCGCAGTCTGATCAGGATCCATGCTGTTCGCTATCAGTTTCTCTACTTGTTATAGGGTTTGTAAGCGATGCTATATGTTGACATTTGTCCTTTATACATATGATAAATGAAAAGAATTTGCAAAGAATTTGTTTGTTATTAAGTACTTGAAGACAAAGCAAACCTGTAATGTAGGTGTAATATCTACACCCCAGGTGACTTCAAGCTAATATATGAAATGCCCTATGATTCTAAAGTAAAACAAATAAATGAAATTTACTAAATAAACCAAGGCGCAGAAGTGTAATAGTCATTGAATAAAAACAATATTTCACTTATGTAATAACACAATGATGTGATGTCATTTGCATTATATAAAAATCATATATAGCTTTATCACACACCCGTGCCGATTTTGCGACTCCGTAAATATGGTATTGCACGGCCGTGCATATATTTTGACGTGACGTCATTAGCGTTATACAAACATAGTGTAAAGACGCGATAAATGTTAGCGTTATACTATAGACGCGCAGTGATATTCCTGCTTTTATAACAGACTCCGATAAAAGGCCTCTTCCCAATTTAAATTTTCTTTAAAATCATGCAGTTTTCCCATTAATCTTAACTTAAACCTGCTTTTTTACTAATTAGTAATTTTAGCAATAATTTTTCCCAAAATCAAGAGGCTAAGGCCTCTTCCCAATTAAGTAAGAAAAACTACTGACGCGTCAATGAAAAATGACTCTTATTTAACTTTAAACGGTCTTTATTTTGGGTATGTGATAAATAGAATATTGAATTCGTGTAAGTTCATTACTGAATTTATTGCACTCGTTGAATAAAATAATATTATGCTCGCCGGAGGCTCGCATAATATAATTTTATTCAACTCGTGCAATAAATTCAGTATTGAACTTACACTCATTCAATATCCTGTATTTAGAGCGTGCTAATGTGTGCATTACACTATAGGCGCATCAATGAAAATCAACCCTTTTTAAATATCAACAGTTTTTATTTCGGATATGTGATATTATATTTGTGTATATTCAATACTAAATTTATTTAACTTGTTGAATATAAACAATAAAATGGTCGCCAGAGGCTTGCATAATATGATTTTATGCATTTCGTTCAATAAATTTAGTATTAAATATATTAATACTCATTCAATATCCTCTATCTTTTCCCCATGATTATAACACTGCAAAATAAAGAACTTAAATGTTACCTTCTCTTTCAACTTTAGCTTTTCCAATTGGTATAAGAAAATCTTTACTCATTGCTTCATCTGACATTTCCATACCAATACCATACATAATTTCATTCTCCAGAAATACAACTGAAATATTTAAAAAAAATAAAACAAAATTAACAAAACTTTCATATTAGATATAGCAGAAAATACTTCAATATATTTATTAAGTTCATTTTGTTGTTTATCAGTTACTGATATATGTAGGCTAGATAGCTAACATCATTTGGACACCTTTTTCATCACATTAATCATAAAAGCATAAGTGATGTGAATTTTCTCTGTAACTTTAGTCTAATGGCCATTTGTCTCCTCCTGCTCATTCAGAAATCATGTTGAATTAGTAGTAGGTCGCTTGCAGTAAAATTGGTTGTTACTCATTAGTTATCCAAGATAGCCAGTTAGGTTGATTGACTGCCGTGATATCACCAAAAATGTGTTAAAATCAGTCAAAAAACCAAATCAAACATGCAGGTTATGATATAGTTTCAAGGTGGAACCAAATTCAAAGTAGTAATGAGCAAGTACTTTAAAGTCAGTCACCTGTACACTATGGAGGCAGCATCATCAAGCCTTGCATTCTTAACAGACACTTTAATGCAAACGAGTTGTCCCTATATTTACACCCAAATACAGGCTGTTTCCCCTTGCCCAAAATAGGTATATTTTTTCCCAAAAAGATATATTTTTCCTTGAAATGTCCTATGCATATTCTTCAACAGAACCTTGACTTACCAGCAGCTGACTTACATCAGCTAGCTTATAAATGAGCCGTGTCAAGACAAAACCAACATAGTGTGTTTGCGACCAGCATGGATCCAGACCAGCCTGCACATCCGCGCAGTCTGATCAGGATCCATGCTGTTCGCTTACAAACCCTTTAACAAGTAGAGAAGCTGATAGCTAACAGCATGGATCCTGATTAGACTGCGAGGATGCGCAGGCTAGTCTGGATCCATGCTGGTCGCAAACGCACTATGATGGTTTTGTTGTGACGCGACTCAAATTTCATTGACTTAGAAACAGAATAATGTCCCTATTTATAGCCTCTGCAGTGTATCGTGCAGGTTTAATTGAATTGAAATTTTTTAATAAAATATCCAGGTAAATTACATTCTCACCTGTTAAAATTTGATTTCAGGTTTACTTAGTGTGCTATAGTTTCCCCTTTCAGAAAGCAACAGGTTGCTTTCCACATAGAAAAGAATAATCACTGATTACTAGGCCACTCAGGCGCTGATATGTTTAACAGTCATTACATTTATTTAAAAATAAAAATGATACCTGGGTTAGGATCTCTAATGGAAGATTTCAGCAGACCTTTGCAATCTTCTGATGAATAAGGGGAGATAACTTTAAGACCAGGGCAACTTCCATACCAAGCAGCAAAACATTGTGAGTGCTGGGCTGCTACACCGGCTGACGCTCCGTTTGGTCCACGAAAGACTATTGGTACTGGTACCTGGAAAATTATACATAATAGTATTTGTTTTTGAGTAATCAAAGCAAAAAAACATCAGGAATTGGTATCTAGATAATTTTACATTCAAACTTGGTGTGAAAAAGATCTATTTCTGAACCAACTTAGTATATAAAAACACTTTACATCAAAATACTTTGAATAATGCACGCAATTTATTGGAAACAGGTTCTTGATATTTTTATTTTCTAGAAAGTATATGTATACAAATTCAACAATAACAAAGCAATAAACAATAAGAAAATGCTAAATTTATATCCAAAATGTCTCAAGAATTTTAAGATAAAACTTAAGTATGGGCATTCAAACTTAATTACTGGAAAAATTTGATACCTATAATCTATATGCATGTTTTATAGAAATACACAGAAACAATAAACTTCTAGCTAAATTGCTTTCCATGTTCCTCATATTTAAGAATTGAATGCACAGTCTGTGGATTGGTCTGAGTCAACAGATGTGTGGGGCAAAGTAGTTTATCAAGTTAAAATCTATTAACAATCAATCAATTTTTTCACTATTTTACTTTTTACTCTTTCTTATCTATAATCAATAAAACTTAAAAGAAGGGAAAAAAGAAACTTTCTTTATTTTTACTTACTTTTCCCGCTGACATGTAGTAAGTTTTTGCAGCTGAATTTATTACCTGTAAATAAAATAGCAAATAAAACTTACATGTCAAGTCTTTTTATGTCAAATTGAATATAAAATGTACATGTATGTAAAATTTTATGTTAAACATACACTGAATTACTTTCTATATTATTGCATAGTGTAAGGCAATTCGGTTAAAGTGTATGTGTTTTCATAAACTTATGGTCATTTTTATTTCTTGAAAGTTTTTAACATGGAATGTCTGTGTAACTTAATATACATTATTACTGTATATTAAATGGAATATTCTGCTGCTATTTTTATAAGGTTTGGTGACAATCTCATGCCTGTTCCACTCACTTTCACTTAGATATACTGACAAATTACTTTCGTTCCTTGTATACTGTAATCATTTTAAACACAATATGACAATGATATTACAGCCTAAAACAGAAAATATATTGCTTTAAACACTTTTAAAAGGACATTATTTTAAATGTCAAAACAGGGTTGCATCATGCTCACATAAAGGGATTATTTCATTTAAATATATATCTTAAAACTTTACTTCATTTACAAGTACATACATTTCAATTTTAGTTTTTTTTATATAGATGAAAACATAAACACATGTACTGATCTAATTTAAACAAACTTCTTCAATTTCTATGATTCAAAAATATTGAACAGTGATCAGAAGAAAAGGTGTTTTTGCTGCCCGTAATTCATATTGATAGCTTTCCATATTGAAAATGAAGTATCAAAATTTATTGATGGTAAAAAAGGTACCTATCCTAAATTATGTCCAGCATATTTCTTTATTCATGTCCAATAAAGACCAATGATATTTGAGCCGCGTCACGACAAAACCAACAGTGCGTTTGCGACCAGCATGGATCCAGACCAGCCTGCGCATCCGCGCAGTCTGATCAGGATCCATGCTGTTTGCTGTTAGTTTCTCTACTTGAAAAAGGGTTTGGTAGCGAACAGCATGGATCCTGATCAGACTGCACGGATGCGCAGGCTGGTCTGGATCCATGTTCGTCGCAAACCCATTATGTTGGTTTTGACATGACACGGCTCATTTAATATGACCAACAGGAACATATTAAAATTTATTTCACCAAATATTTGACATAAACTGTTATGTACTCATCCCTTTTCGACTGGACACAGAAACTGACTATTAAGTAATTGACTGAATACATAAGTGCTGCTGATGGAATAAGTTACAAATATTAATACCATACCTGATCTATTGCTTGCATGGAGAAGTTAAAGGTCATGAACTCACAGATTGGCTTTAAACCTGCCTGAAATACACATACAACATAATATTTATCAAATCACTGCATTTATAATACAATGTGAATTATGCTGAACAAAACAATGTCCAAATTTCTATCATAAACTTCATAACATGACCATTCTATACTTACATGTATTAATGATGAAGTGTGAAAAAATCAACACTTGATTCAGGTAAATTATCAAATTATTTTCTGCATACAATGTACATGTATGAAGGAAAACATTATTATAGCATCAATATGTAAAAGATTCTATCAGTTTTCATAAAGACAATAGAATTATAAAAGATTTTAATCTTATCTTTAGCATATAATATATTGGGGAAATGACCCTCCTAATGACGACCAGGGGAGGTAATAATTGCTATGTGAAATTTAAGTAAGAGATTATAGTTAAAATCAAATATCTTTAGTGGTTGTTGAGAAAATATGGTGTACAAGTCTAGATATAAAACTTTAACTAATGATATGCCCATGTGGACACCTGCATGAGGACAGCCCTATTTTTCTTTGATTACTCGAGCTAAAAGTCAACCAAACATGAGAAACAGTCATATTTAATACAATAAAAATAATAACATACCATGGCGGCACCAACAGCTATTCCTGTAAATCCCATCTGTAATCATAAATACATATATGTTTGATATGTAAATATACATGTCTCAAAATATGTAAAAGCATTGAAAGCGCTTACAGAAATAAACATATAAAAATTTAACATACGTTATATATATAAATTATATACAAAATTTTCATTCCTCTTTTGTACAAGTTCAACTTAAGATATTATATATCTCTTTCAATTTTTTTGAAGACTAACACCTATTTATGAAATTAGTCCAAATAAGCATAGTAGAATACAGATCCTTCAGTAATAAAAATATCAAAGAATAGGTACAGTTAAACTTAAATCCTTAAAGAATATAATAATTGAGCTGTGTCACGACAAAACCAACATAGTGGGTTTGCAACCAATATGGATCCAGACCAGCCTGCGCCTCCACGCAGTCTGATCAGGATCCATGCTGTTCCCTATCAGTTTCTCTACTTGTAATAGGCTTTGTTAGCGAACAGCATGGATTCTGCAGCATGGATTCTGATCAGACTGCGCGGATGCCCAGGCTGGTCTGGATCCATGCTGGTCGCAAACGCATTACGTTGGTTTTATCGTGACACGGCTCATATAAAATTACCTCTGTGATAGGTGTGTCCATAATCCTCTGATCTCCATACTTTTTCCAGAGATTCTTTGATACCTTGAAAAAACAAATCAATCAAATAATACATGTCTATATAAATAAAATACCATTCAAACTCCATTTATTACAAGATTACAGTTATATGCCTTAGAGAGAGTGCTATTATGCTCTCAAAGAAGTATATAAAATTTCAACTTTTTTCAAAGTCAGATGTCAATGGAATATGAAAATACATGTATCTGAAATGGTATGCAAACTTTAATGTAAATTTTAAGTAAAAAAAGGGGCATTATTCTTTCAAAATGCTTGAGTTACCTCCTCTTGTCTACAGATTTGGGGCATGATGGTGAACAAGTGTAAATTCTTAGTTGAAAAAGGGGCATAATTCTATCAAAATGCTTGATACAGTTACCTAATCTTATCTACAGGTTAGGGTCATGATGGTAAACAATTGTGCAAAGTTTCAAAGCCAAATGTCAATGGACTTATGCTTAAGTGGTTACGCTGATGCTCGGGTGACTAGGATAGCTGTACTTATTCTTATCAAATAGTCGAGCTAAAAAAGCAGTAAGTTAGCCTTGCCATGGAATCCTTTAGATATTCATCGCATTGAAAATTGATTAACTGTCCTCTATTCAATCAAAAACTTCAAGATAATTATTATACAGGTAGTTTCATAGAAAAATTGTAAATTTACTTTGTAGGCACCGTCATATTCTGCAACTTCTTCTCCAAGTAGAAACACTTTAGGATCTCTCTCAATTTCTTCATCCATTGCAGCATTTAATGCATCTCTTACTGTCATTGTCTGAAAGAAAGATTGAAAGGTTAAGACAATAGCGAAGAGAAAAATTGAAGTGAAGGTAATGAAGACATCATAAAGGCAATTCAAATATGTCAGAGATATTGTAACATAAAGATTAAAACTGCATGCATATAGACTTTTTAAACATTATGTTAACTAAGTAACTGCGGTAAAAGTTCCATGACTGAATAAAGTTTGGGATTTATATATAAGATTATCAAAATAAATGTTTGCAAAAATAAGCATGCACCTTTGCAAATCTTAATGAAGAAATGCAGTGTTCTAATGTCTGTAGAAATCATCAATTATTTCTCTAAAGAAGTTTATAATTTTGTATTGATATCATCTAGTGTAATGTTTAAAAGAAAAATTAAATGACATTCAGATTAAAGATACTAAGTGTACTGTACTAATAAGTGATATGAATAATAGATTTTACAAAAGCAACAAAAGCTGGATTTACCTGTGCTGTATTTTTTGTTGAAAGACTGAAACATCTTGATATCTTCTGTAAAGCCTGCTGCTGAAAAGGAATTTATAACAAAATTATTAAACAGTTAAGTTCGGTAAAAAGTCAACTCGGCATGGATCAACTCGGCCCTCTTTAAAAAAACAAGAACGTGTTTGTTAAACACAAATGCCCCCCGGCTCCGATTCTTGTCAGTAGCAATATTTCAAAAAATGTTTACCCATTCACTCAGTTATGAACAGAAACATTGCCAAAAAATTGTAAACACAAGTTATATAGCTTGACAGAGTCATGGCATTTTGTAATTGTGAAATATATAAGTTGCCAAGTCATTGCTATGACTTGTGAAGTGTCAACTTTATCAAATATATATAAATGTAAGAAATCTATATTTGGCACCCTTGACCTTGACCCACTGACACCTATAGAATATCATGCAAGTTATCTTCCTACCAAATATGAAATACACCTGTCAATAAATAAAGGCTGTATGGGCAAAAGTGTAAAAATCTATTTTTAGCACTTGTGACCTTGACCCAACTGACCCCTAACTCCATCCAAAGTAAGAATAACATGCAAGTTATCTTCCTACCAAATATGAAATATATCTGTCAATAAATAAAGGCTGTATGGGAAAAAGTGTAAAAATCTACTTTTAGCACTAGTGACCTTGACACACTGATCCCTGCCCCATTCAAAAGGATGAATACCATGCAAGTTATCTTCCTATCAAATATGAAATATATCTGTCAATAAATAAAGGCTGTATGAGCAAAAGTGTAAAAATCTATTTTTAGCACTGGTGACCTTGACCCAACTGACCACTAACTCCATCAAATTTTATGTTCCTATCAATTATAAATGACATCTGTCTATAGAATATGGTTAATACACCTGTAAAAATCTATTTTTAACATTGGTGACCTTGACATTGGTGACATTGACCTTGACCCAAATGACCCCTTACAATACCCAAAGAAGGAGGACCTCCCTTGGCATGTTTGTATTAAACATGAAAGACATCAACCAAAAAATAAAGGCTGTATGAGCAAAAATGTTTAAATTTATTTTCAAAACCAGTGACCTTGACCCTAGAGACCACTTAATTAGAAGGACCATTAAAGGTATCCACCTGCTAAATATGCAAGATATTTTTAAATAAATTAAAGAGAAATTTACGATAAATCCAACTTGCCGGAATAGGTTAACCAGACAAGGCCCTATTTTCAAAGTGAAAAAAGGGAAATAACTGGGATGACACAGTTATATAACTTGGCAATATCATGTACTTTGTATTGATAAGTAAGTATGGAAATTATGAAGCCATTAGTATAGATAGAACTTAAGATATTTCCAACTTGCCATTTTAGGTTAACCATTATTCATTTTCTAAGTGCTGAAAAGGGCAATAACTTGGCAAATATGGAAGCCATAGTTATGTAACTTGACCAGATCATGTACTTTGTATTGATTAGTAAGTGTGTAAACTAAGAAGCCATTGGTACAGGTAGAACTTAAGAAAAAATCCAACTTGCCGTTCTAGGTTAACCTCGTACGGACAGAGGGACAGACGGACGGACGGTTCAAATACTATATGCCCAGGGGCATAAAAACTTAAATGTATTAACTTTTTTTCGAATACTTGCATGTTGTCAAGGCCAAAAAGAAATGTTATCAATGACAAAATAAGAGATATCTGGTTTATTATTATATAATTGTACATTATACTTCTGCAGAATTAAAGTATATTAAGAAGAAATTTGTTACGTTTTTCTTTCAGATTCGTTAAAAATTGATATAAGACAAATGTGTTTCCTTTGATGCTTTTTGTTTGTTAAGTAATCTTCAATAAACATCTACATCATACTGCTTAACAATCAATTCTGATTATGACTAGCAGGCGCGTTGTCAGGGAACTGTTAATAAACTTTTAAACAAACCAATATATTAATATATACAATTGAAAAGTTTTGGCCGAGTTGACCGGTGCCAAGTTGGAAAAGGGCCAAGCTGACTCGGGGGCCTAGTACGTTTCAGGGCCGAGCTCACCCTGATTTGATCACAGGGGATTCTGTCATTTTTTTTCCTTTCCCACTATATACTGGTATATATAATATAACATGGGATACATCTCAAAATTGCTCATTTATTGAACGAAGTATACAACAGTTTTTTTTTCTTTTGATTGTTGGACATTGATGAAAGAATCGATAATTTAAAAACAAGATTGCATTTGAGAAAAATGCTATGCCACCGCATTAATACAACACTAAATAGTAGTGTAGGATCAGATTTTTTTTGTTTCTATACAACTGAAGATTGTCATAATGCATATATCCCTGACCTATCTAATTCTTATTATCAGATTAGTTGTTAAATCTTTTGTTAATCCAATAAAAGATCAGAGTAGGAATATATCAATGCACTTGAGTCTAGTGAATTTGGTGGTGAAGGTCATATTTCACACAGCCTAAATTTCATGACTACATCAAAGGACAACACAGTAAGACACTCAAAATCTAGGTCAGCTGATATCAAAGTTCACTTTACATCTTAATCTGTGCACATGGTTCAAATTTCATAGCTGTACATCAAAGGACAAGAAAGTAGGTCACATCATCAAAATCTAGGTCACCTGATATCAAAGTTCAATTTTACAACTGAAACTGTGCATACGGTCAAAATTTCATTGCTGTACATCAAAGGACAAGAAAGAAGTGATCAAAGCTCTATGCCTTGTACCTTCAGACAAAAAATATTTTTTATTTTTTTACTATATGTACATAATGAAAATCAATGACCCCGCGGGGCAGAAACAATTTTGACCCCAGGGCTATAATTTGAACAATCTTGGTAGAGGCTCACTTCCCAAAGTCTCATGCAATATATTTAACCTCTAGCCTTTGTCAATTCAGAGAAGAAGATTTTTCAAGTTTTTACTTTATACATACAAGGAAAACCTATGGCCCCTGGGCGGGGCTAATTTTGACCCCAGGGCTATAATTTGTACAATCTTGCTAGAGGTTCACTACACATGTTTCATGCAAAATATCTTAACTCTTGCCTTTGTAAATTTAGAGAAGATGATTTTTTAAGTTTTTACTATATACATATAAGGAAAACCTATGGCCCCTGGGGCGGGGCTAATTTTGACACTAGAGGCAGAATTTGAACAACTTTGGTAGAGTACCTATAGATGATATCATTTAACAAATATTAAAGCTCTAAGCCTTGAATTTTCAGACAATAAGATTTTTTTATTTTTTACCATTTGATATATTGAAAAGCCATGACCCCCAGGGCGGGGGCAATTTTGACCCCAGGGCTATAATTTGAACAAACTTGCTAGAGGTTCACTACACAAAGTTTCATGCAAAATATCTAACTTCTAGCATTTGTCAATTGCTATAAGAATTTTTTTTTAAAGTTTTTACTATATACATATAAGGAAAAGCAATGACCCCCGGGGCCGGGCCAATTTTGACCCTAGGCCTATTATTTGAACAATCTTGGTAAAGGTCTACCAGACAATGCCTTATGCAAAATATCTAAGCTATAGGCCTTTCGAGTCTTTACAAGAAGGTATTTTAAGTTTTTACTATATGTACATATAGTAAAAATCAATGACCCCTGGGCGGGGTCGATTTTGACCCCAGGGCTATAATTTGAACAATCGTGGTAAGAGTGAAAGAGACAAAGCCTTATGCAAAATATCTCAGCTCTAGGCCTTTTGGGTCTTAACAAGAAGGTATTTTATGTTTTTACTATATGTACATATAGTGAAAATCAATGAGCCCCGGGGCGGGGCCGATTTTGACCCCAGGGCTATAATTTGAACAAACTTGGTAAGGGTCTAACAGACAATGCCTTATGCATAATATCTAAGCTCTAGGCCTTTTGGGTCTTTACAAGAAGGTATTTTAAATTTTTACTATAGGTACATATAGTGAAAATCAATGACCCCCCGGGCGGGGCTGATTTTGACCCCAGGGCTATAATTTGAACAATCTTGGTAAAGGTCTACCAGACAATGCCTTATGCAAAATATCTAAGCTCTAGGCCTTTTGGGTCTTTACAAGAAGATTTTGGAAATTTATTCTTATAATTCCTTTTGGTTGCCATGGCAACCAGATTTCTGCATGGAAAGAAATTCTTTGAACAACACTGGAAGCCCTTCACCCAAGGATCAATCCTGCCAAGTTTGGTTGAAATTGGACAAGTGGTTTTTCACAAGAAGATTTTTGAAGTTCACTATATAGTCTATAGAACACACACACAAACAAACACACACACAGGTGAATCGCTATATGCCACCGCATCGCAGATGCTGCGGTGGCATATAAAATGACTCACTTTGTTACATGGACAAGATATTATTAAAAATAACTTTTCATGTTTCATTTTTACACACGTTCGTAAAATTTTGGTTTGCAAAATTACACGTGTAAAACGACATCTAATGCAAACGTATGCTCATATAAGAAAGTTTAATCATGTAATCAGTTAAATATCAATCATCACCACCATCAATCATGCAATCATTAACTTCTGGTACAAATTATTCTCAGGGCTCCAGATAAGATGCGTATACGCGTAAATTACGCATGGAAATAACACGTTTATGCATTAAAAACAAAATTTAAGCGTATGAAAACGCACACAAAATTCAGGTTACGCATTGAGCAACATTTCTTTCGCGTATAAACGTAACCGAAAGTAAACTCGGTGATTATCTTATTTTTAATTTCGTCTGAACGCTTTGCAAGCATCTACTGGTAACTTCCTGTAGTTCCGACAATCATCGGTTGTTATCGTATGTATAGTATGGTGGTGGAATTAACTTCGTATGAATGCTTTGCAACGTCTAACGGAAACTTCCTGTAGTTCCGACTATCATCGGATGTTATCGTATGTATAGTAAGGTGGTGGAATTAACACAATTTCATAAACATTCGGTACAATGTCGCTGTCAAAAGTTAAAACGATTGACCCGTATTTTCGGCCGAAAAAAATCGGCAAAGGTTATAATTAATGAAATAATTAGCGCTGCCACGTATGAGCAACAGAAACATGCCTCAGGTTCAGATAAACGTATGCCGTTTGGAAATGCAAGATTGTAAACCAAGGGAGTCCAAAAAGCAAAAGAAATGACTTTGACATATCTTATATATGATAATGCATTGCAATAAACATGGAAGCAAAATAAATGTTTTACTCATTTCAGGGCTTTTTTTCACAGTTTGGGGAAGCAGCCCAGTCCTTAATTTTGGGGAAAAATTACATGGTATATTTGCAAAAGGGGAAGAAAAAACTTAATGTAAATTCAATTTTTGGGGAAAACTGCATGATTTTAAAGAAATTTTCTTTGGGGAAGCAGCCCTATACCGGCCCCTGTTATAGAAGGTAAAAAGGCCCTGCATTTACATACATTTTAAGGAGTAAAAATACTCCTGCCAAATTTCAGATTTCAAGTTTTACTCATTCACAAAAAAATCAATGAGTAAATACTCATTGCCCTAAAAAATTATCTGGAGCCCTGATTCTAACAATTTTTGTTTGTTTTGATAATTTTTATCCTCGGCTTCCATTTTGATGTTGCCCGTATGTTCCATGCGTAAATCCAACTTCTGTTAGTGACTGTCAATTTCATTGGCTAATGAATAATAATAATCCGGATAATAACGGCATATACCCGCGACGAATAGCGGGTTTTTCATCAGCCAATGAAAATACTCGGAACATAAACCACCGACAACTTGACATCCAATGTAAATATTGAAATGTTTGCTATTTCCTGCAATGTTACAGGTTTTAATGAAGTGTTTGTAGTAGAACTTGGGTAATGACTCATTCATATATTAACTTCTACAATAACTTTGATGGAATACACCGATAAACACTTTCAGAACTAGCAGACGACAGGCTATTCATATCAGTAGAATTTCGAGTAAAGATAACGGATTGCGTATCTCACTGTATAAATCGTATGTAAAATGGTCTGACATATGGTAGGTTTAACAGTTAATTAAAATACTTTGAAGTCCAAAGATGTGTTGAATTTTATACTGTGACGAAACTTAGATCCAAAGCTTTCTATTGGCGTAATACATTTTAAAATCGGACATTTAATCACAACAAACTAGCGGTTTAAAAACAGCTTATTTTGTATTGTTTTAGCATAAGCGATATCGATTTTACTCGAAGATAAGGGAAGCAACTCGTATTTTTTCACTCGATATACCTCGGTTATTTAGGTAGATCATATTGAAAATGTTTATGGGTGTATAGAGGATATTTTATACAGTTTACACATGTGAATGCATTTTACAAACCCGTGCTGGTAGTGCGAGGCCACGACTTGTATCCCTTCTTTATATTATATATATAGATTTAATAAAATAATGACAGATTTCCCTGTGGATTTGATAAGTAATTAAGTTCAACTGACAAGAGCCTGCTAATTTATCAGGTCTAGGATTTCATGATATTTATGGACTGTCCGTAAATTTACAGACAGTCTGGAAATTTAAAGATTTTTCAATCCATAAATTTACAGATATTCAATATGAAATTTGCTGTTTTTAGTTTTACAATAAAATCCGCAGCTAAAGACAAGTTGTTTTATTTATTGTTTATATTTACAAAGGTAATGGGGTGAGTTTCATCTTTGTATGATGATTTTGAAATTTTTGTAAAAAGTGAAAATTGAAAGTCATCAAACTGTTCTGAATCTTAGCAAACTGTTACATTTAATCATATAATTAATACCTAACCTTATTCATTTTAACCTGCGGTTTTAAATTTCAATGCAACTTCTACTATTTTCTTACTTAATGTCTGTAAATTTACAGATAAGAAAATCTGTAAAATTATGGATTGCCCAAAAATTTATAGACTGTCCGTAAATATGCCTTATTCTCATCGATTCGTGCCTTCTCATCGATTCGTGACCTAAATAATTGTCTTGTATAAATACTTCTGCAAGGACATACACCATCCGAAAACTACACAAGTTTTATTAAACACTCGATTTGACAATTCTATCCAATCAAAATGCGAAATTGAACAGGTGTTTCAAATGAGCTTACCCTACAATCAGCTGATGACCTAATTACTTTAAAATATTCGATATTGATGTTTTAATTTATCAAACACACTTACAATTAAGCCAAAAAAATATTCATTATGCTGTAAGAATTTACTTAAGACTTTGAAACATATATTGATCAGATCGGACTGAAAATCACCATGCAAACATTTAGTGGTGTGAGCACCTATATATTGATGACGTCACAGGGTGAATCGGATTTCACGAATCGATGGGTAAGCGTCCAGCTGAGCAAGACAGTCATGGTTGACATGTTCAGATGCTCTAATCTTTGAGCGGTTGTTTTTAAAAGTTATTTAAAGTTTTTGAACTTTTAGATAATGAATTTATTTAACAAATGCACTAATTGAACTGTATGTATGTCTGATATTTGTTGTGCAAGTGCAATTTTTCCAAATAAGAGTCACGAATCGACGAGAGAAAAGCATATAATGAAATCCTAGACCTGTTTATAATGCTAGGTAATGCAAAGTTTCAAGACAGATATGTACTTGTGACAGTAATACCATAAAAATGCCCGATTAAAAGTGATAAGTATTAGAGATTATTTTATCCAATTACAATAAATATTGGACATGGTATAAAAGTATTACATTTAGTACGAAAATAAAATGAACGAACATGCCATACATTTTCATTCAATTGCAAGATTACGCTTCCAATACATTTGCAATTAAACATGATCAACACCGAAATAATAGTAAAGAGATTTTGTCTCAACAATATGTAAAATCAGTGAATAAAGATAAGTAATAAATATTATAAAGTCCAAAAACTACCTGATTGAGTGTTCTGAAGATCACGGTCGCCATTTTGAAAACAGCAGAAATGACCTTCGGGTAAATACTACTAAAAGTTTCCTCTCTATGGGTATGGCCAGTATTTATGCAGATTGATTTATACCTAGCTCTGCCTTCATCAAACCATTGAATGATTTGTCATTGTTATGAGTACTGTAAAAGCGGTACAAAAAAAAACAAAAACAAAAACAGCAGAAAAACGTGTGAACAATGAGATAATTCAAAAACAATGACATAATTTATATGAAAAAAAATGTGTTTTCAATTGCTTGTGATATAATGACTAACATAATATTTAAACCTAAAATTCTAGATATGAGGTGAAATGAAAAGAAACAAGTTATGGAAAACTACAGACTTGGAATGTGCAACATCTCTTAAGCGCCTTTGCTTAATTGATATTCAATCGTATCTATTCAAATGAAGGAAGATGCAGTTAGATAACTTTTCCAAATACCAATACTTCAATGGTTATCAAAACAAAAGATCAGTCGAAGAAAACAGGAACACGTTTAAAACTTTTATAATAAGTACATCTGAAAAGAACATTCCTAGCAAAATGTCAGGTGGAAAAAGTCTCTACCTTGCGGAGTGATGCAATTACTTGAGATGATGATGATGATGATGATGATGATTAAGCGTTTGATTAAAAGAAGAAACCGCACACATGCTCTGTATAAAAAAACTGACCAGTACATTTTTTGTAACTCCGAGATTAAACAAAGATGGAAGATACCGAGAAGCTCTATTAATAATGAATTGAAATTGACCCCTAGCACCGTGTTGAGGGGTTTACAATCTTCAACACAATAAAGTATTGAAAACAAACCCCGAAGTCCTGAACAGAATAATAGAACAATATTGAAATGAAGAACGGCAACTTTTTACAGTTTCACAAACATTTGGCGGAAAAAACAACAAACAAACAAAAGAAAAAACCAGTGTTGTTTAATATGGTGGTGATAAAGGTCATGAAAAGGAGCGATAAAGTCTTTCATCGTAAATTAACCTATCACATATGGCAAAAGTTTCAAAAAATTTTCTTTGGTGTAGCCACGGATTTATACCCCGGTCACATATTCACGGAATACGCCCACGGAAGAGCCACGGATTAATTCCGGCATCGTCCGTAGCTACCCGTACTGGTCAGTAGCTCTCCGTATTGTAACCGTAATCAATCGTAGTAGTCCTGGTATATCCGTAGCGATCCTTGACAATTTTTGAACATGCACAAAAATTTGCTACGGAAAAATCAACCGTAGCGTATCCCTGCTAGTCCGTATTAAAACGTACCGATACTTACTGGTCCGTACGAAAACCGTACTAGTCCGTACTGATTCGTAGCCCACCAACTTATCAAGGATTTCCACGGTTTGGTACGGATAACCTACGTTTAAGCTACGGTTTTAATACGGATTAATACGGAAAGCCACGATCGTAATACGTTGTACTACGGAGAAGCAGGGATTAACACGGTCTTATACGGTTTATTGCGTTGCAACACGGACTTGTACGGTCCACCACTTTTTAGAACGGATGAATTAAGTATCATGAACTTTCCAAGGGTACTACCTTCTTGTTAAAAACAGACATATTTGCAGGAACATTCAATAAATGATAATTGCCATTTACTGGCTGCAATTTTATATTGAAATGGCTCAGAATGCGCAGGCAGTGGTCGAGCTGCTAGATGACATGGATAGAGGTAAAATATATTAATATCGTACTACAATTCTTAAGTAATAGAGTAATATCATTTAATTTTACAAACATTGGATCGTGAAATTTGAGTAAATATGTACATAAAACGAAGTGTCTCATAAGTCTTGGACACTGACCCTTGAGTTATAAGAAGATTAATTAACAAGCTTTTTACATATTTTTAAAACATAAACATTCACGATAATAAATATTATTGTAAAAAAACGGCACATTTTAAAATTAAAAGAGAAGCAGTTTTGATCAACACTTTTTTTAATGATTACTAGTCCTTATCTAATCAGGTAAGAGAGGACAGGCAAGATGGTGGACTGGAGATGGGCTTTTACGAAGACCCCTTCATGTTAAGTATGAGGCTCTCATGGCCGAACTTGTTGAGGACCCAGCGTCCTTCAAGAAATTCACTTTTATCGGACCTGATGTGTCTCGGGGGTCAGACGCGATCAGGCCGAATCCTCTCTGCCGAAATCATTAAACTCTGCAATTCGTTTTCCAGGTGTTCTTTTCTTGTGGGGCATTTATGCAAGAGATTGTGGACGGATGTATTAGGTCCGTATAGATCCGTGGCAATTCGTTCTTCTCCGTATCAATTCGTTCTTCTCCGTATCAGACCGTACTTATTCGTACTAACCCGTGCTTATACCGTAGCAGACCGTAGTGTATCCGTAGTGCGTCCGTCCTAATTCGTGTTGCTCCGCATCAAACCGTGTCGGTCCGTAACAATCCGTGTCTCTCCGGGGGATTTTGGTGGTAAATCCGTCGGACTCCGTACTTATACCGCTGTGTGTCCGTAATGGAACCGTAGCGGACTACGGAATTTCACATTTCCGTAGTAATCCGTGAACGATTAGACCGTAGCTCTTCCGTGGCATTATCCGTGAATATGTGACCGGGGCTTATATTATGTAATATAAGTCCGTGGTGTAGCATCCTTTTTGAAGCCACGTGCCACTTTTTACGATCACGGGACTTTTGTGAAGGTAGTGATGGTTGCTCTGTCAATCAAATCATTGTGAGGAGTTTGTCAAATGATATATCCCTTAAAGCATATACGTATAAATAAGGAACTAATCAAAGAAGATTTGCGATTGAAATTACGCTATTTAGCTTGTCTCCATTGCAAATCATGGGAATCGGTTGATTTCACATCGGAGAAGGAATTGAAAACAAACATAATTATGATGTTTATTCACCACAAATATTTTCTACTACTAAAGAACAGAAAGAAAAGCTATCGTGCGTACAATAGATACGACAAAAAGTGGTTCTCTGAAGCTATTACTTTAACCTGCGTGCTTTATGTTGAACAGCAGGGCCCTTCTATTTAGATAAGGGCCTAGATAGAATAGATTTTACAAACTTTACAATTTAGCGAGTAAAATATATCTTAGTTAAAAATCTGTCATTTTGTACAATAACGATGGATTCTCTGCTGCGTAAATATAACCGTTATGATTTTAAGTTAGCACATATTGTAATTTCTTTCAATATGTAAAAAGTTCTGTTGGTGAATTGACACGATAAAATATATCAACAACCTATGCAAATCATGAAATTAAAGAAGAACTGCTTGGCAGTGAAAAATTTATTTCAAACTGTACAAAATTAAGCATCATACCCTGCTTCACGGATTTATATTAATATTATTTGTAATATAAATCCATGCCTTAAAGATGGAAATGTGTTACTCTGGTTTTCTATTTTGACATGTAAGAAAAACTGCCTGAACATGATGGTTTAGAAGAGACTGAAATGGTAATAGGTGATATCATGAAGCTCTGTTCTAACTTTATTTCCATTTACATAAGTGTACTTATTAACTGATGGTGTTGACTCCATCACATTTTGATGACTGTTTCACATTACCTATCGTGCCAACACATATAAGTATTTTGTTTCAAGTTTGAACTATTTTTATTTTGAATCAAAGAGGGGGGGGTTAAGAAATGATACATGCACGATTAAGTGGGCAAGCATCTACCCTAAGATAGAAAAATTAATCAATAAAAATATATTTAGGTCGTTATACTTATAAATATAATAACTTGACTATAACGGAAAGATCTGTCACACCATTTCCATTTATGATTTAGTATCATAATATGATTGTTTACTGATGTTGCTGTCAAGTGTGAAATACATTATCCCATATAACATATTTATTTAAAATTGTTCTGGAACAAAATATTAATATCACAGAGCGATACATTTGTAATAAAAGTCTCTGTAATTATCACATAAATGTTTTTATTATATTTATCAATAAAATATTGAGAAACATTGATGAAATAAAATGCACATTTTCATTTTCACTTTTAAAAAAATAATTTTTCACTGCAATGAAACCTATTTTATGTGTTTTTACTGGTGTCTTGCCGGACTACTTTCTTCTGAATTCAGCCAATACACAAAATTTAAGGGGAAATCTTTCAAATTGTAATATCAAAAAGAAAAATTATATAATAAACAGAAAATTCAAGTTTTTTTTCATATAAATACATGATTTATTTTCATCTTGTGGTATAAAAATTATCATATTTCTCACGTAGCTATCGCCACTCATGAAATATTTATTTTCATATGGTACCACTCGATAAAAATAAATCCTGTATTTACAGAAAAAAACTTGAATATCCTCTATATATTAAATACGGATGAGCATTAGTGCCAGGTGTATGTTTTTTATTAACTCGAAATTTCGAGGGGGGTGTAAAATCATGTGTTAAATAAGTTTTAAATGGCACGTATACGCCAGTTAGTCTGTCACGTTTCTTTATACTAACAATGTTTTTGTTACATTATTCATTATTTACTAAGACTTTGATTTGATTCATATTTTGTTGATAAAAGTTGATAAAAGTGGAACTTGTTGTTATATACATGTTGGGAATAATATAAAAGCATCTGATTTTACAAGAAATATAGTCAGTCCAACAAATTTGACAAAGGCCCCAGCACCCCCTATTTTGGCCACTCCGCGATACTTTCCGCAGATGTCCCACACGTGAAGTATAGGATCGTTTTATTCACATGGATGAGAAGAATATGATTAGTGAAAAGATATGGTCGAACAGGTAGGATACAATACAACGCCTGAACGTACAAATTAAAGGAAGCCTTGTGTTTTTTTAGGTCTGACATGTACATGCCATTACTAAGTTTAAGTTTAACTTTAATAGTTTGTCCAGGCACCCGTTTCTCCATCTCCATCGTTCAACCGCTCTCCCTACTATATCTTATATTATCTAAACTCTTGGTAACTCATAAATTTGGCCATTCTTGTAATGTTAATAAGTCGAAATTTCGAGTTAGTATGTCGAAATTTCGAGATAAGTTACTCGAAATTTCGAGTTAGTATGTCGAAATTTCGAGTTAATAAGTCGAAATTTCGGGTTAGTAACTCGAAATTTCAGTTAGTATGTCGAAATTTCGAGTTAGTAACTCGAAATTTCGTGTAAATAAACAACATACCCCTGGCACTAACGCTCCTCCGTAATTAAATCACTTGGAACTCTATCAACATTTTTTCAAGAAACATCTCATAAACATAGTCGAATGATTCCTTTATATTGTGTTTATCAATATGGAAAATGTGCTAATAATTATTGTGGGCCAATCCCGACATATTCAAAATAAAAATATTTTCGTTTTTGTATTTTCTGATCGCAAGATCAGTAAATACATAGCTAACATCCACGGTCTAACACAAAATTTCCTCACAGACCTAACAACGCAAAGTAGTTCTCACTCAAAACTGCTTAAAAACCAGCAATTTAAAAGAAAGAATAATTTTTAATGTAGGCATTGAACGAATTACAGTGTATTTAAAGTTTACATTAGTCAATAGAAATATGAGGTTACAATCACAAATTTCGCGGATGAATATCTTTTTTACCCAATGAAAAATGTTCGACTATTTCCGTAAAGCTTAATCAATGAAAATGCTATTTTTAGCTATGTCGATTACCGAATACTCCAGAGCGTAGTACACAAATAAATCTGACTGTCGAGTAATGGAATATATAAACATGTCGGACTGTTTTGGCGAGAAGATTTTCGCTAAATTATTTTCATCAGTGTTTAACAACAGGTTTATCGTGAACAAAATATCTCGAAATTAATAAGGATTACAAATACGAAATGAAAATTCTCAATTTTAGAATTACAATATATTTGTTTTTATTCACGCTACATACGTATTACTTCACTGTGGTGCAGAGGTAGCGCGCTCGTTTAGGGTGTGAGAGGCCTAAGGTTTAAATCCTTGTCGAGGCAACATTTTTTTTAAGTGTCTTTTTTAAGGAAGTTGCCACGATATGCAAGGATAAAGTGTGGCTGTAATAAAAAATGAAAAATGATTTTTGATGCAACTCTTAGCATGCAAAATTCCATATGTATCAATCACAAACTGTTAAACGCAGTCGCTGCGTAAGATGAATAATAGTATATAAAAATAAACTTATACAGGAAAGATCAGAAAATACCACAGAGCAGAAAATACCACAGAGCATGCAGCCCTTTGATTAATTTTAGTAGTGTTAAGCCTAATATATAAAATACGGTAAAGAACGGCATACCTCTGACGTCATAAACATTTGTCCAATCACAAATTTAACCGAACTGTCCTTTGGTATACTGCACGCCAACAGAGCAGAGGTGGGGTATTGTCATTGGAACGTATTTTTCTATTTTAAAGGTTATTTCTAAAATCTTTATGCGAAGAAAGAATCTTATTTCGGCAGTATCTTTTTGTTTAAAAGATGTTATGAATTTTAATTTCATTATTTTATATTTGTAGTGCAAAAATGGCCGAATCGACAGGAAAGCCGGCTATGAAGAGCTTGTTCCCAAGTCCATTCAAAACGCTCCAGTGCGGTTCTGGAGATAAAGGTATAACGCTACGAGTTTTTTTATTAATTGTTGTCGTGATAGAGTCGTCCTCTCGCGTCTTTGTCTTTTTTGGACCAAAATGTTATTTTTTGTCGCTAGTTAATCTGTCAAGCCACTCAAGGTCATCGAAATTAAATCACAAAGAATTTTGGTTTGATTTGATTTATTTTAAATTCCTTAATCAAATCTCTTGTTAATAATCTCTGTAATTGCATTATGTTGTTATATACATATGCATAAATTAGATGGCTCGAAATCTTTGAAGAATTGAGAAAAGAATATCTCCAACTTCCAAGGAATGATGGACGTTTCACAGAATCCGTGTCAGCTCGGCCCTAAAATGTACTCGGCCCCCGAGTCAACTCGGCACGGGTCAACTCGGCCCACTTTTTCAATTATTAATATTTAGGTTTGTGTTATCATTTATTGTAATTATTGTAATTATTTATAATACACGGATTGACAGTTTCCGAACTAGCAGCAGACAGGCTTTTCTTATCAGTAGAATTGCGAGTAAAGATCACCGATTGCGTATCTCACTGTAGTTCTGACTCGCGGTAGGTTTCACCGTAAAGTTGAATACATGTACCTATTATTATCAATCAGTGTGTATGTTAAGGATATCGATTAATTAGGTGATAATTATGATTGACGCATTCATTCAAATTTGATAAGTGACCACCTGCAATTAATTAGAAGCTTATGATATTAAGTAAACACGTTTTTGTTTCATTTTTTTTTTTTTAAAATTACTTAACAAACAAAATGCATCTAAGGAAACACATTTTTAGTAGATCTATATTAATTTTAACGAATCTGCAAGACCAATAAATAACAATTTTTTTCTAAATATACTTTATTTGGGCAGAAGTACAATGTATTTAATTATATGATAATAAGATATTTTTTATTAATTATTTACCTTAACAACATGCAAAGCAAAGTTAATACGTTATATATATTTTTGTAAAGTGGGCCGAGTTGACCCGTGCCGAGTTGGTATAGGGCCGAGTTGACTCTTTTCCGTTTCACATCCTGGACATTTCGGCCAAAGTATTTTCACCTTGTGGCATTTGTGCAATTACAAACATAAAAATAAACATTTCAATTGGAACTATACTGGATCATAAACATGTAAACATGAAAAACTTTACATCCTCCAAATTGTTACTGGGCAGCTCAAAATACCCTTTGAAATATCACACATATATAAACTTTAAGTATGCCTTATTCTCATTGATTCGTGCCTTCCCATGGATTTGAGACCTACATTTTGATGATGTCACAGGGTCAATAGGATTTCACTAATCGATGGGAAGCGTCCAGCTGAGCAAGACAGTCATGGTTGACATGTTCAGATGCTCTAATCTTTAAGCAGTTGTTATAAGAAGTTATTTAAAGTTTTTGAACTTTTAGATATTAAATTTATTTAACAAATGCACTAATTGCATTGCAAGTACATGTATGTCTGATATCTGTTGCTCATGTGAAATTTTTCAAAATAAGAATCACGAATCGACGAGAAAAAAGCTTAATACTGTTGCTATATTTAGTAGCACTCTACCTTCTCAATGTAATTGTTACAATTGTGAAAAAAGTCATTAAAACGTATATACATAAGAAACAGGTTAAAAAACAATAACTAATAATAAAGTATATCAAAGTTAAATAGAAAACACTCAGTAATATATGACTACCAAACTAAAATGAGATTTACGTTACTTTCAATTACGAAGGGTCCAATGAATGCAAGTTCTGTAATAAATTTAGATAATAGGGATTCAACCATTTATTCAAGATGTGATTGTTCAATATCAATTCAAGCAGTCTGACTACTAAATAATGGTACTCACTGACTATATCTTACATGTAGCAAACACTGACATAGTACATACTCATGATACTGCATTGCAGGGTTTTTTAAATATGATGTTAAGCAATATTTAGGAAGCCAGTATTACGATTTTCTGCATCCGCATCTGCAGATGCAAGAGGTAAAGAACTCTGCAACCAAGTAGGCATTTAAGATGAATATTGATACAGGGTCCCTGACTTTATTTTAGAGGTGTAACGATTCATCGATGCATCGATACATCGCGATCTGCCCTGTCAACGATGTATGCATCGTAATGAATTTATAAATTCCAATATATCAGGATGCAATACATATTTCACCACCTGATGCATCAATATAGCGGGAAAGTATCACAATTTATCCTGTCACTTGTATCAATTTCGGCCCGATAACAAGGTGCCGTATATTTTTACTGATCTACGGCACTTGATCACGTGGTATGCATGAATGGGCACCTCTTTGCCGAACTACTTTTCAAGAAAAAATATAATTATTGTTATAATGTTGGTGGTTAAATTTCAAAATTTTCATGAAAATAAGCTTTATGTTTGGTGGTTAAATTTCAAAATTTTCATGAAAATAAGCATAAATCTGAAGGCATGCTGCTTTAAAATAGCGTACTTGATTTGATTGTTTTGCACGTGCTGTTTGGCGCTACATTGTGACGTCACGTAAACAATACTTTAAACGTCTGTACAGCGTTAACGACTGAATAAAAGATATTGGTGTTCGAATTCATTTTCTTAGTTAGACCATTTTCTTCCATTCTAGATAGTTTTCACAACAAAATTCGACAAAAAATTGTTTATATTTATCACATTTTTCAAACAAAATGGCGCCCTCAATGTGAAAATACACAGGGAGATAAGAAGAATGGCGAGTGCATTGTTGTAGAATAATGCACGCTTCGGGCCTTCTTTGTTTATAAAGAAACATTTTCGATAGTGTGATTAAAGGTAGTTTGCCTAATAAAATTCTTTAAAATAAACGGTCACAGGATAAATAGAATAATAGATTGGTGCCGTGGATGGAGAAAGTTTATCTGGCTCTGCTCCAGAATTTATTGGATTCGCCTTCGGCTCACCCAATAAATTCCTCCGCCTCGCCAGATAAACTTTCTCCATCCACGGCACCAACCTATTATTCTCTATACACTAATAATTATGGTATAATGAAAAATACCTTTAATCCTTAAGTAAAAATCCTTAAGTAATAAGTAATGTAAATTGCTGAAAGATCAAAACTTGAAAATAAGTTATAATAACAAGTTGAAGAGTTTATTATTTTGTTATTGTAATAGTTTTATATTACATTCGTAATTATGTTGTGAACAAATGACCAAGTTTTTTATATAGATAAAGTCTGAAAGTCAGTATTGTGATACGTATTGCATTGAAACATAAGAATCGCAATATGCATTGTATTTTATCAAAGTATGCAATACATATCGTGAATCGCATCGTTTGGAAATGCAAGTATCGTGATATGTATCGTGACAGAAAAAAATGGCAATGCACAGCCCTACTTTATTTGAAGCTGCAAACACTGTTTATTGCAAGTTTCTTGTATCATCTGCAATTTTTTTAATGAAAATTTACAATTGTCAAATTATTGTCATTGACAATATTGTCACAACACTAACTTAAAAACATATGAACATATAAAACAGAGACATTGAATGCATAAGATATTGTTTAATAAGATGTCTATCATGAATCTAGGCATTTTCTAACTTGTGATTTAAACTTTTCCGCCCAATAAAAAGCTAAATATGAACAGTATAAAACAGGCAAAATTCGTAAACATTGACACATCTGCTCTGAATTTCACAATTCATAAGGCCCCCAGAGCCATTTTCAAAAGACTGGAAAAACACTGTGTTCAGTTCTTACTTTGAGCCATCATGGACAGAAGTACAGTTGTCATTAGAGCCATAAATAAATTCTTATCTTTTACATTTCAATTTTTTTTCAATTTCAGAGGAATACAGCTGTGAGTTTGGATCACAAAAATTTTATGCACTTTGCGGATTTGGCGGTATTCTGAGTTGTGGTCTTACCCACACAGCTGTTGTACCACTTGATTTGGTCAAATGTAGAATACAAGTAGATCCAGCCAAATATAAGAACATTGTCAATGGATTTAAAGTGACATTAGCTGAAGGTGGCACAAGAGCACTCGGTCTAGGATGGGCTCCAACCTTCATCGGTTATTCTATGCAGGGCTTGTGTAAATTTGGGTTCTATGAGGTCTTCAAAAATGTTTACTCTGGTATTTTAGGAGAGGTAAGCAATCTTTACTCATTGTTTTGACTGGGGGAGTGGGAAGTAAGGGAATACAACTTTTAGACCTGAAAGTCAGTATTAAATACATATTTTATTATATTATCACTGCAAAATGAAATTTTTTTATTGTGATTTGCATTAATCTGAAACTTTTAGCAGAATTTGGTTTAATTTTAGACAGTTTCCTGTGATATTAGCTCAACTTCTCTCAGAAAAAAAAAACTATTCTATTGTCATAACCCACATTTCAGCATTGGCATTCATTTTTGGTTAAGTTTTGGTTTGTAAATAAGTTGAACACTAGTGACATGGCTCTAGTTCAATTTTGTATTGAAACACTGTGTGACTTTCAAATTAAGTATATTGAATGTTTGAATTCAGTTTTTACTTATGTGTAATTGTAGGAAAAGACGTACTTGTGGAGAACCTCATTATACTTGGCTGCTAGTGCATCAGCAGAGTTCTTTGCTGATATTGCTCTGTGTCCTATGGAGTCTGTGAAAGTGAGAATTCAGACAAAACCAGGATGGAGTACAACATTGAGAGAGGGTGCACCTAGAATCATGAAAGAAGAAGGCTTGAATGGGTCAGTTTAAACTGTAGTTTACTCACTTTATCAATGCATTCAAACACTTAACATTATCACAAATTTTATTTTGACTTAAAATGTAGTAAACATAGCAATATTGAATAAGATTTATTAAGGCCCCAATGTTAACACAAATTCATTTTGTTTTTCATTTGTAAACGTTTTCAATATTTCTAACCATTTAAACATACGGACAAGATTTAATTTTCAGAATAGATAGAATCGTAGTCTGATAGATAGATTGAATGAATGGTCAAGGCTGCATATAGGTCTCTCATTGTTTTTAGCCAAAATGTTACAGGTTTTACAAAGGCATTGTCCCATTGTGGAGCCGACAGATTCCATACACAATGATGAAGTTTGCCTGCTTTGAAAGAACAGTAGAAGCTCTGTACAAGTATGTTGTACCAAAACCAAGGTCAGAGTGCACAAAAGGAGAGCAGTTGGTTGTTACATTTATGGCTGGATACATTGGTAAGTGACAAAATGTACTGATTTAACAAATATTTTAGAGTAACTTTTGATACAAATTGTAGGGATTTGCTAAAATATGACTATATCATGAATGATGCAAGAACGTGCTTTCAGCTTTTCACATTCATGTGGTTCGAAGAAAGTATGAGTATGCCTTTATTATATAGTAAAAAATAAGTAGTCAACTGCAAATTCTTAAAATTAAAAAGTTACTAAAGAAATTAAAGTAGATAACTTTGTTGTCACAAGCTTCCCATTGTAGTGTTTGCATGTCTGAAAAAATCAAGATATTGTAAACTTCAGCATAACTCTGTGTCAGAAATACATAGATGTGTACATTATAATGTGCACTTCATTATAAGGCTTTATGTAAAACTTAATATCAAGTAAGTGTGATGCAGTACTTTTTTTGATAAAGTTAATGTATGTCGTATAGGCATTAAATTAAATATAATGAATGTTAATTATATATTTTAGCTGGAGTATTCTGTGCTATTGTGTCCCATCCTGCTGATACAATCGTGTCCAAGCTGAACACAGATGCTGGAAGTACTGCCGTGGAAGCTGCAAAGGCTCTTGGATTCAAGGGTATTGTATTTTATTGATAAATTATAGTTAACATGTTGTCATGGTCTCATGACATGCAGTTCTATAGTGGCTATAATGGTGTGCATACATTATACCTGTAGAATCTAAAACATATTTGAGCCGCATCACGACAAAACCAACATAGTGAGTTTGCGACCAGCATGGATCCAGACCAGCCTGCGCATCCGCGTAGTCTGATCAGGATCCATGCTGTTCGCTTACCAACTCTATTACAAGTAGAGAAACTGATAACGAACAGCATGGATCCTGATCAGACTGCACGGATGCGCAGGCTGGTCTGGATCCATGCTGGTTGCAAACGCACTATGTTGGTTTTGTTGTCACACAGAACATTTGTTTTCTTCTAGTGCTGCTTCGTTCAGATGCTTTTGACATTGAAATCTCTTGAATTAGGTAGGGACAATGTTGTATTGAAAGAAATAACATTTCCTTTCCATGAAAATAAACCAGAGATCATAGATAGGGTAATGACCGTCTTGATGGACAAATAATGCAGCAAAATGTACACTAGTATTTCAGAGATTCTAGTACTTAGCAGTTCACCCTACCAGAATATAGAAGCATCTTATTACAATAAAGTCACAGAAATAAATGTATTGTCAGCTAAATCGTATATGCACTGCATTTTCATTGTGTGATTTTCAAGATTCCACATACCTTAAGTCTAGTTTTGAGTTATCTTTTGTTCTAATCTACAAAAGTAAACACAAGCTGTAATGGTTTGATGTCAAGACTGGACGAGTCAATTATGTGGTACAGAAATATACCTCAATTTTGTGACTTGTATATCTGCAAGATATAATGAAATCTTGCACAGTCACTTGTTTGGACAAAGTGTTTGGATTGTTGCCAGACTGGATTGATTATGTTAGGCAAATGATAAGAAAGAACCTTACATTTTATTGATTTGCTTACGATAAAAATACTTGCCAACAAAATTGAAAAAGAAAATCATTATCAAATGTAAAATAACTGGTGTATTTATATCAATCTGTTAAGGTGTACCTTATTCATATATTATACTTATATTATGTAGGTAAAATTGGCCAAAAAAACTGTTTGATATTTTAATAAAATAAGTTAAATGATTCTTCATCATTTTGAGAATATTAAGTAATTCTAAGGTCTTTTTCTTATATTTGTAAATGTTACCAAACTTTTTAAGTTTTGTGCAGTGCATTTATCCACAAGCCTTAAATCCAGTCTTGAGGCATGTCTTCACCAGCATATATTATGTTTGGTGTGAGTTAGCCGACAATCTACTGGTTGTATGTCAGGATTGGATGAGTCAATCTTGTGGTACAGTAATATACCTTAGTCTTGTGACTGATATTAGTTCTGTTTTCTGTAAACTTGACTAAGTCACTTGTTTGGACAAAGTTTTTATTTCACCAGTGATAAACTGTAGGTGATATATGAGCCGCGTCACGACAAAACCAACATAATGGGTTTGTGACCAGCATGGATCCTGATCAGACTGCGCGGATGCGCAGGCTGGTCTGGATCTATGCTGGTCGCAAACCCACTATGTTGGTTTTGCTGTGGCGCGGCTCATATATCATATCACACTGACAAGATTCAGTATCTCAACTTTTAGCTTCTGGTCTGATAATGCATCAGTCTCTAGTAGGTTGAAATAGAGTTTATTCAAACACCATGAAGTATAACATATATAAGGTCTTGAACAAATCGACTGTTTAATCAGTTATAAAATGATAAAACTTTTAAACGTTAAAAAAACTGTTGTATAATTTCAGGATTGTGGAAGGGTCTCTTCCCCAGGATTATCATGATCGGTACACTGACTGCCCTGCAGTGGTTTATCTACGACTCTGTGAAGGTGTTCTTCCGTCTGCCACGTCCACCACCGCCAGAGATGCCCGCCAGTCTCAAGAAAAAGCTTGGCATCACCGAATAATGACATTCTAAAATGGAAAATTTAATAAATTAAACTATCCCTTTTTCCCCTTGTGTTTGACAAAAGTTTTTTTATACAAAAACGATTGACGTTTAAATAGTTTACAAAAAAAAATTAAAAACGCACCCAAAATTTTTAAAAAGGATTTTATTTAATGAAAACCTGTTTCTAAAACAAAGAAAATTTCCCAACCCACTTTACTAAATGGTTTTTGTGTTTATATTAAATACAATGAAAAGGGTTTTTTTCCAGCGCAAGCCCCATCGTTTTAAAATTAATAGAAAAAATAGAAGTTTTTTAAAAAAAATTATCACTTTTGTAGGAATTAAAATAAAATGGCTTTTTTTTAAAATAAAAGGTGTATGGAAAGATTTTTTCCGGGGCATTTCTTGTGTGATATTTTGTGGTGTATATAATATTTATAATGCTTGAAATTTTTACTTACAAAAAAATTGATATTTTTTTGACTTGTTGCTTAGAAAGACAAGATCTGTGAGTTAAAATTTTGTTTAGTTTTGTTTTCTAAAGCCCTGTGACATTTATATTCAATACGGTATGTGTCTTACAGAAGTCACTATAATACATAACATTACCCAAGTTTTCCTTTGGAAATTACATTTTTGAGATAATAGCAACCCATTTAGTAATGTTTTGACGGAAATTTTATCCCCTTGAATCAAATACTAAGAACATTACATATCTTCAGTATGTAAGTAATGTGTTTCATGTGTGTTTTGTATGATTACCCAGGCCATTGGAGTAAAGCTGGAATGTCGCCGTATGACCTATACTGTGTTGGTTCGTCATTAAACTCTGCAAAAAAAATCGTGTATGAAATACAATTGTAAAATAGATCAGGAAGTTGATTAGTGAATACCTTTGTAGATGTGATAATAGTTGGTAAATTACAAGCTACCTGTATGTTGTCAGCCTGAATATCTGTCTAGAGCAAAATAAGGCAGAGCCAATAGTCTAATAATTACTCAAGTCAATAATTCAAACCATTATTGGCAACTAGTGTAAGATTTGTATAGTTCATTGATGAGATGTTGGACATCAAGGTTAGGCAGTATGCCAGGGCAATCAGTTCATTTTAGTGGATGAAAATGTGCATCAACATGGCCCAAATTATCTAGAACTACCTGGAGAGGGAAGGAATTGAGCGACCTGAATGGCAAGCTTGATCACAGATACAGATATCGGCTCTCCAGGTTCAACCTAGAAGTATCCAGGAGCTTGAGGACTAAGTTTATCATTACATTCTATTATAAATAGGTCTCGCTTTTATCAAATACAGCACTTTGAACCAAATACAAAGCTTTTATGAAATTATTTAACTTGCTCAATACAACTTCAGGAGCATGTGATTTATTTCTTTATTTAGAGGTTAATACTTGGGAGTTGGGCTGCTCGGGCATTATCCGCGATAATGGCCCGAAGATGATGTGCATAATGGCCTGAGGGCCGGCAGGCCCGAAAGGACATTATGGAAATCGAGGGCCATTATCGCATAATGCGAGCAGCAAACCAAGTATTAAACGTCTTTTAATACCTATGTCCGAAAATACGGCATTTAGACATCGCCGGCTAATCATAAAAATCGCAAAAATATGTCATTCATTTAACCCTTTTATTACATTTGAAAACATTGAGAAAAACAAAATAAAATATGAGAACAATATTGTTTTTATTGTTGTTTATATCGGGATAAAAAACTCGATATATTTTTTTGTGAGAAATAACATATAGTGCCAGTTTTTTTTAACTTTTTGTGCCTCCGGGACTGATGTCTAGCTCCATTTGTCATCGATTGCCGATCTTATTTCCTACAGTCAAACTGAAATCAGTTTTTTGGAAAATTCTGTAGGGTTAATGTTTGTGTCTTTATGGTAAGAGTTATTCTTTTCTTGAGTTTTAAATCTTCAATGTTAAGACTTTGTTGATTGAGACTGGATTAACGTCATTTAAGCTGAAAGTTTTTTGTGCAAGTGACTACAGTTTTCATTCAACGTCAGCAGCCATCTTGAAAGACCACTGAGAGTTGATGACGTCATTCTGTACGTGCGCTCATTCAGCTCGCCATTATGGAAAAATAATGCCGAGTAGCAAGGCGGCCGAAAAATTGCATAATGACGCTAGATCTTGCCATAATGGCCCTGAAATACCCTAGATTTTGTTACTATATATAGTAACATAGGTATTAATAAGTATTATGATTGCTAAGGTGTGACTTGTGCATCTAATAAAGTTATCGGGTAGATAGATATGACACAAGACAAAATGTCTCTTCTGTGTGCCCTTTTCATAGGTCATTAATACTAAGCAGTATTACTTTAGTAACAGACCACTCTTGGTTGAAAAAGATCATAGGAATTAAGCACAACGTGATTTGTTGTCCTGATTTAACAGGCAATGAAATTGATAGGGATTATTTAGGTAACAGAATTTGATATCCGTATTTCTTTATTGCACCAGGGAAACTGTTACCATGGCGTTCAGGCAATATTACAAACCTCCAGTAATTAATCACCAAGGCCTACAGCTGTACTAATAATGTAACTGTGCCACTTATCTCCTAAACTGTGCAATCATTATAGTATATAACATTAGTAATGAAAATTCTATGTCTAAAATAAAAACAAAGGAAAAGTGTAGAAAATTAAATCTTTATTTTTTTTTAATCTTTCTTTCATATTGAGACAATTTGAATGAACAACTACTAGGTTTACTACAGTAGAACTAGATCCTGATATTATATACAATATTCATTCGTAAAAATTTCAAAACAGATTATCTCACAAAATTCTTTCATACATTTTAAATAAAAATCCCTTAATTAATTAACATAATTCTTACTCTGTCAATAAATCATAAAAAATGTATTCAATATGTTATCTTTATGGAATCAATACATGATTAATATCAAATTAAAAAAAAAAATCTGTCCGACATTTTCCTCTTGCAAAGAATCTCACTACGATTCAATGTTTATTATACAATGTGCTATTAAATAGGGAAATAAAAGGATCATATAAATTTTTATTACCCCTCACTATTTTTGTAATATTAATTTCCCATAGCCCAATGGGAGATATTCTTACTGTTTATGAGAGTAAACATTTTGTAGATCTACTGTTTCAGTAAAAATCTGAAAAAATAAAAACTTATAGAAACAGTATCCAAATGAAGTATTTGTTTGGGGTAATAAAACAAATAACACGTAGGTTTGTGAGTAACAGTAAAAATTATCATCCCTTTGTAAAAAAAAACTATTACCCTTGGCTAACGCCTTATGTAACAGTATTTTCCTGGGGATGATATTTTTACTGTTACTCACAATCTTAAATGTTATTTATATATTTTCTCCCAATAACATATTTAAAAAAAAAAAAAAAATTTTACTTGTAGAAATGCAGTAAAATTTAAATTTTATCTTTTCATTTCATGTTCAAGACTACAATTCGGCAAACTTTTATTCAGGTGAAATTATAAATGGCATAATCTTAAACAGACTACTGACATGACAGGATTTTTTTTTTTTGGAAACTTTGATGTTGGTCTAAGTCAACAACTTTTATGCAATATTTCAGATTATTTGCTAACATTGTTTTGTCCCCAAAATAGTAATTCTTATTCTGCATAATTACATTGAAAAACCTGTAGGTGCTTTAATTTCAAGACTCACACTTAGTATCTATTTTCAAAAATTATAGAGTATAATTCTTTATTATCTTTTTTCAATTTCCTGCTTCAACCGTCTCAGTCGACCTATGCAAGATAATTTTATGTTTTTATGCTTTTGGAACTCAGCATAGCTCCTTTTATTTAAACAATATTTTTAGTAATAATTGAATAATTTGCATTATGAACTTAGAATCATATATCAATATCAATATAACATTTCAATGTATTTTGTTCATCAAAGTTAAATCTGTCTATAGACTTGTATCCTGCAAGCAGGAACCGAGACTTTTGCTTAAAAGATGTCTCTCCTTAAATAATGTATCTATGTTTTGAAAAAACAATTATTCATATAAGAAAAATAAACAAGTGGGCCATGATGGCCCTGAAGTCGCTCACCTGTATATAGGCCCCCACAGCGGGGCCAGTTTAAACCCCAGGGCTTTTACTTGAACAAACTTGGTAGACACCCATTAGAAGATGTTTTATGCTAAACATCTAAGGTCTAGCTCATTGAGATTTTTAAAAAAAAGATTGTTTAAGTTTTTACTATACTCATATAGTCAAAAGCAATGACACCCCTAGGGCGGGGCCAGTTTTGACCCCAGGGCTTTTATTTGAACAAACTTTAAAGACACTCACTAGAAGATGTTTCATGCTTAATATCTAAACTCTAGTTGGGTTTTTTCAAAGAAGATTTTTAAGTTTTTGTTATACACATATAAGGAAAATCAATGTCCCCCGGGGCAGGGCCAATTTTGACCCAAGGGCTTTTATTTGAACAAACTTTGAAGACACTAACTGGAAGATGTTTCATGCTTAATATCTTAACTCTAGCTATTTGGGTTTTTTCAAAGAAGATTTTTTAAGTTTTTGCTTTACACATAAATAAAATCAATGATCCCCCGGGGCAGGGACAATTTTGACCCCAGGGCTTTTATTGGAACAAACTTGATAGACACTCACTAGAACATGTTTCATGCCAAATATCTAAGCTCTACCTCTTTGGGTTTTTTAAAAGAAGATTTTTTTAAAGTATTTGCTTTACACATACAAGGAAAATCAATGACCCCTGGGGCAGGGCCAATTTTTGATCCCAGGGCTCTTATTTGAACAAATTTAATAGACACCCATTAGAACATGTTCATGCTAAATATCTTAGCTCTAGCTCTTTGGGTTCTTTAAAGAAGATTTTATAAGTTTTTACTATATGCATATAGGGAAATCAATGACCCCTTGGGGCGGGGCCAATTTTGACCCAAGGGCTTTTATTTGAACAAACTTGATAGACACTCATTAGAAGATGTTTCATGCTAAATTTTCTTAGCTCTAGCTCTTTGGGTTATTTAAAAGAAAATTTTATAAGTTTTATTATATGCATATAGGGAAAATCAATGACCCCCTGGAGCCGGGCCAATTTTGACCCAGGGCTTTTATTTGAACAAACTTGGTAGACACCCATTAGAAGATGTTTCATGCTAAATATCTTAGCTCTAGCTCTTTGGGTTCTTTAAAAGAAGATTTTTTTAAGTTTTTACTATATGCATATAGGGAAAAATCAATGACCCCGGGGCAGGGCCAATTTTACCCCAGGGCTTTTATTTGAACAAACTTGATAGACACTCACTAGAAGATGTTTCATGCAAATATCTAAGCTCTTCTTTGAGTTTTTTAAAAGAAGATATTTTAAGTTTTTTCTATTGGTTGCCATGGCAACCAGAGTTCTGCATGGAATTAAATTCTTTTAACAATTTTTAAAGGTGACCACCAAAGGAACATTCCTGTGAAGTTTGGATGAAATTGGCTCAGCGGTTTATGAGGAGATGTCATTTAAAGTAAAAGTTTACGGACGCCGGACGAAAAACGATCACAAAAGCTCACCACTTGGTGACAGGTGAGCTAAAAAAGGTGGTCCTTTAGTAACAGGTATAAAATGTCAGTCTGTATTGCATGGTGGTCTTTAGAACAAGTTTGACTGTTCATTGAATATTATTACTTTCCTAACAGATTTCTTCACAACATCAATCTTACCCGATACACAGTATCACTTTTACTTATATGTAACTATAAAATATCTTTACCAAAATCAAACCAATTAAGCCCTACCTTTGCCAGTCATTTTTCCATATTTACACACACACACAATCAAGAAAATACAAGTTAACTGAAGGTCAACAAATTTCTGATTAAGTAGTGGTGTTCAAACTCGAAATATTCTATATACAGCACTTTTCATTTACATGTCTCAATAATGCAGTACAAAATTAGAACAGTTCTGTTTTTAAATAATAGTATTAACTATTTATTGATTAAAAACGTAAAAAATTCCTTTGCATGAATGAAAAAATATATAACATAAAGAGAGAAAAACAATTTCTTACACTGACTTTTATCAAATTTAGTGGCTTTGTTTTCTTATCAATAAATTGAGTTTTCAAGTAAAAATAATTCATGCATTAAATTTTTTTTATTCCAAATAATTTTAATATTTGAATATTTTAATCAAGCTTTATGAACATTTTAAATAACTTATCTCTAAAACAAATACACAAGTACAAGCACTTTTGACTGCATTTAAAGTTGTTCAAAGACATTTAAAATGTTGAATTTTACAGAAAAGTCTAACATTATGCAAAATAAATCACCATCAAAAGATCAGTATTAGAGGTTCAGATCATTTAAGCTCCTGTCTTAAGGCTCATTGTCATTTTGAACAACAACAGTCTACACAAATCTAAACTGTTGATCACTTAATTTAAATATCTTAATATTAAAATCCCTTAAATAAACAAATGACAGTTCTAAAATCAAAGCAGAAACATTTCATTAAACATAAATTTAGGATGATACAGGATTATATCATACAAGAGATTGAAGTCAAAACACATTTTGTATTACTACATGTACTAAAATCAAACTTTCACATCTAAACCTGTACAAAGTCATTTTTGTCCATCTTTTTAATCTGGACAAAAACCAATAGTCATTTATCGGGAAAATTTATACAATACAAAATGAATGAATAGCGAACAGTACCAACCATGCTCAGATGGCAGAGACATGCTGGCTGATCTAGGTGTGCTCTGGTCACATGGGTAGAGTCAGTCGCTGCCTACAGGCTGAGGGTTAGTATGGGTTAATATTTAACACATGCACCAAATTCAGTTTAATTTCTGTACAGAGTTCACCAGTTAATTTAATTGCAATAGTTAAGTAATCTCTTCAGATATTTGTTTGTCCACCTTGCTCTTAGGTCATCTCCAATGCAGATTTATGATATGGTCTGGAGACTGACGGCATTTCAGTTTTAGATGGTTTCAGGGGGTACTTTTTGTTCCTTGAGTCGGGAAATCTATCATGGTAGTGCTCTAAACGCAGATATTTCACTGTTACTAAGCGACCTGGAAAAAAATTTGGTAATAATTATTCTGTTGAAATAACTGTATATCAAAATTCCATCTCAAAACTATTACAACAGAATTGTGTTAAACCATTCGTATTTATTATGGACTGTCACAGCAAACTTTGCAAAAAAAATGTTTTTATAAATTTCACTGACAAAAAGGGACAATGCAGCGTTGCAGGTAAGTTTGTTATAGGAAACCTCCTGCTGTTTTTTTGTTATCATAAGGCACCTAGGCCAATTGAAAATGTTTATCATCCTCAAAAATGTAGTTGGCATATAATTCAAATTCTGTGACTTGCAATTTCCAGCATGATAATAACCTAAAGTCAAACATATAAATTTCAAGATAGAGTTTTAGTGCTTACATGAGGCAACAGATGTGCCAAGGAAAATGACCAATTTAGCCAAGGGTCAAGGTGGTTATTTTAATTTACATGCTGAAAACACTATCAATCAAAATAACAGAACTTGACAGATCGCCAATCTGTTAATAATGAAAAGCCTGTAAGATAACCCCTGTTATAAATATAAGGACCTCACCATCAAACCACCATCCATGTAAAGCCTGATAAGCCTCATAGGCTTTCTCACAACTGATACATTTAATGTATACACAACCCTGAAACAAAAATCATAAAAGCCATTTTAAAGAAAATTTGATACTACATTTTAACTAATGATCATTAAATTTATCTTATATGAAAACATTTCAACTTTTTCTTCAAATATATGCTAAATCAATATGACATTTCTGTTTTCATGTGAATTCTCATAGAATTCACTCATGATTTCTTTAAGTTTGCTCAGAATTATGTTGTTTTTTTTCTTTTTGAATAATAAAAGCATGATTTTTTAAAAATGTTTTTCAAGTAAACTTTACACTAAGCATTTGAAAGGAGCATAGTCCATCAGTATGAATGATAGATTTAAGACTGAACTATTGTTAATTCCCCAAATACCGTAAAAATCCCTGTTACAGCTATTGTAACATCTTGTGGTAATGTTTTTACTAAAAGTTCCATGTACATGCATTAACCTAAGAATGGAGGAATTCATATAATGCTTGTCAATATTTAAATACATGTACATGTATATGAAATAAATGTGAAAAGAGATTATCAGTAAGGTGTTTTTCCTTGAAACTGTAAATATTTACAACATGAGGATTAGAAACTCATACAACTGATGACAATAAATAAATATGAGCTGTGCCATGACAAAACCAACATAGTGGGTTTGCGACCAGCATGGATCCAGACCAGCCTGTGTATCTACACAGTCTGATCAGGATCCATGCTGATCACTATCAGTTTCTCTACTTGTAATAGGGTTTGTAATATTTAAAAACAGAAGTCCAAAAGACTTTACCTCTCTTGATGTTCTGTCTACGAAAATATGGAGAATACCATGGTTATCCTGACACTTCTCTAAAACACTCTCCTCTATATCCAGGTGCCAATCATCAACATTCTGTTCTCTACAACAACAACAACAACAGATTAATAAACAATCACAACTTTCTGTCTGACTTCAATGAAGAAACATAAAGTGTTTTTTTTTTCAAAACCAAGCCCCTTTGAAGCACTTTCCAAGACACTGTCAATAGATGTTATCAGAACTCGGCAAATATGGGTTTTCCCCAGATAATCCGTAGGTACAAACAAACTTTTACATATATAGCTTCACGATGCACTGCCAGTCACAATAGACAAGTCAACCTGTTGCACTGGTTTTCAAAGCTGTGACAGTAAAATTTTGTACTTAAAGATTAGCTGGGGAAAAACCCAAATATTCTTCATTCCACAGTTAATCTATTCAAGCACTTTTCAAGACACAGATCGTTTTCAAGCACTTTTCAAGACACAGATCGTTTTCAAGCACTTTTCAAGACCCATGCAAACCTTGTAAATACAATGGTATTGCAACACCAATCAGACAAGATATGGTAGTTTAATTTGCTGCAAAAATCTAACATGTAAACAGGTGACAGGTACTTGCTGGGAATAACTGAACCATTTATTTTAACCAAAAAAAAATGACTTTGGTAATCTGTCCTTTAGAAATGCATTTTCATTTTGATAGTGAACAATTATTAAAAGGTGAATGTGCTAAAAAAAGAACTAGAAATTTGTCGATAGCCCTATTAGGAGATGGATACCTCAATATTCCACTGTTATGTCAGTCTACAGGCAGACAGCATGATGGACAGGATGAACAAGGGCATATCTACATGCCTCCCCCTAAGTAAGAGAAGCATAGGAAATATACAAGTGATAGACAGAATTAAATAACATGAGCCATGTCATGACAAAACCAACATAGTGGGTTTGCGACTAGCATGGATCCAGACTCTGCGCAGTCTGATCAGGATCCATGCTGTTCGCTTACCAACCCTATTACAAGTATAGAAACTTATAGCGAACAGCATGGATCCTGATCAGACTGAGTGGATGCGCAGGCTGGTCTGGATCCATGCTGGTCGCATTATGTTGGTTTTGTAATGGCGCGGCTCAATTATTTAAAAATTTAGAAGAAACAAAAAGACTTACGTGTTTGTGTCAAACATATTTCTGACTTTCAAGCATGGAGTCGGGCCATAAGGCAAACTGTTCACACTTCCCTGACTTGTCTCCCCAAATGCTGCAACAATAGTTTATATATCTTAGCATATCATTACAAAGCAATCTGGTAAGTATTTAATTGAATAATTTTTATAAACCTCTAAATTTAAAACTCATACTTGCAACAAAACAGCAATACAATGGAAGCTTTCAATTAATTCAAATTTACATAAATTTACTTAATTCATACCCTGTTACATACACACGCAATGCTTAAGATAAATTATTTTCAGACAAAAAACATAGACATAAAAAGAGTGCTTAAAGCATTTCTCATTGAACAGAATTCATCACACTTCTGTTCTTTTTTGTTTGTTTGGTTTTAAGTCAATAATTTAGGGCACCTGCATAGAACCACTGATAGCTAGCTGGATAGCTTTCGCACATGAAATGATTAAAAGTCCCTGGTGGGGTTAGATCACATAGTTGTGAGGGGCAAATGGTTTGAAGTCAATGACCTTAACCATTTGGGCACAGACACCCCTTTCATCAAACATCTTTAAATGCTTGTTTTTTTTTTTTACATAATTATAATACTTTTATTGTATTTTATATTTTGTAATGACCTATCAGGCAGGTTGAGATAGACTAATGCTTACCTTGTCCCTGCCACATTTTGTGTCCATTTGGAATAGCCTGAAATATGAGAAAATGATATGTCAACACATAAGAAAAATGTAAATTATTATTACCTGCTTTAACATTTTTGCTACTTCTCTCAAAATAAAAAATATGTCCAAACAAGTGACTTAGTCAAGTTTACAGAAAACAGAACTAATATCAGTCACAAGACTAAGGTATATTACTGTACCACAAGATTGACTCATCCAATCCTGACATACAACCAGAAGATTGTCGGCTAAGTTGCACCAAACATAATATATGCTGGTGAAGACATGCCTCAAGACTGGATTTAAGGCTTGTGGATAAAATTTAATTATCAATGATATACCTGGAAAAGAAGTGCTGTAGTTTTACAATATTTATCTTCTTTTTTTTTTACTATTTATACTTTCGCATATGAAAGGATTTAAAGTCCCTGGTGGGGGTTTGAACACCCAGTTGTGACGGGCAAATGGTTTGAAGTCAACGACCTTAACCATTTGGCCACATATAAAACAGGTGTTTTAATAATTTGATTAATCTGTATAAATAGTAACAGAATTGTCCATGATATCAACTGATTATGAGTTCACAGTACAGGGCCAAACAAATGCTCAGTCGGATCACTGAGAACTAGCAAAAATTATGATGTCACAGCTTACATCATAATTTTTTTCCCTTGATTTGGGGCATAAAAAACATTAATACTAAAAGAACATTTGAGACTACTGCTGTGTTAAATAAAAAGAGAAGCAACTTTGTACCTGAGCTTGGATCTTCAGAGATAAATGATTAAATGACCTAAATTAACCTCAGACTGTTTAACAATTGCAACTGAACTATAAATAGTAACAGGAAATTTTTTGCTGTGGAAATAAAGATAAGAAAGATAAGAAGTTTATTAAAACTTAAAATATGAATATAACTTTTGATTATATATTTTTGCAACCTGCAATGATATAGTCAGGGTGCTGTGTAAATGTACAATAGTCACTAATTGACTTGACTGATATAATAATGCCTCAAGCCGTGTTGTGTTCTTCAATATGTAAAGTGCAAATAAAATCTTTTTCAACACGATATTGACTGTTAGGGTGTTGTTTTATTCATTGACTTTACATAGTAATGTTGGATGATCTGAAATAGGGTCGTAAACATGTATGATAGGAAGTCGTTTAAATCAACAAATTGGCTATGGCAAGTTTGACTATACATAATTTTTATCTATGTACGAAATTATGTTACGCTTAAGTTCAAGACATTTACATAATTATGTTAATATTTTTAACAGATAACACTATTGTCCAAACAAGTGACTTAGTAAAGTTTACAGAAAACCGAACTATTGTCAGTCACAAGACTAAGGTATATTACTGTACCACAAGATTGACTCATCCAATCCTGACATACAACCAGAAGATTGTCGGCTAAGTTGCACCAAACATAATATATGCTGGTGAAGACATGCCTCAAGACTGGATTTAAGGCTTGTGGATTGTTTATACATGTATCATGATAAGAATATTAAAAAAAAACATCAACAATTTTGAGTTCAACCAATCTTTATAACATTTTTAATCTTTATTTGGACTCTGAATATAATCTTCTAAACATACATAAAAGACATTGTAAGAACTTTATTGACATGTTTGCTTTTAATTAATATTTAAAGTTGTTTATTTACAATTATTCTTGAGTTTTGGGTCACAACCACAATATGGTGTATTTTGTTGATTTTTTGAAAGGCTCATTATATCTCAGAAATGCTTTTCATTTTTTTCTACTTTTCAAAAGGTTTTTTTTTTTTTAAATTTTGGTGTACTCAATAATTTGAGTTTATTCTGTTGCTTTTTGGCAATCAGAACAGTGAAAGTGATTGAGTATTTTGTATGGAAGTCAAAATACTACTTTATTTACATTTTGTTCCTTTTATGACAAATAATTACCCATTTATTGTTACTTTCTTCAGGTAACCAATATCTAACATTCTCTTAAATCATTATTTAAATTTTATTTAACTTGAATTTGACATTTCTAAAATGTGAAGAGAAATACTGATTTCTCAGGCATCATGTGCCTTTAATTCAGACAAAACAGTGCAATTTTGACAAACATCTAATCTCTGTAATCGATCAAGATTGTTGTGACTCTAAATGAAAACATTGTGGTGCAAGTATTTCTTAACTTTCCTTGATAATAACCATATTATCATGTAGACCCTTCAAGTTGGTCAAGAAATGATATATAAAAAGTTTGATCATTAAACTAAACACAAGTAAATGACAAATGACACAACCAATTCCATTAAGAGCAATTATATTTGTGATTAACCAAAAAAATTTTTTCAAAAAATATTAATAATTTTTTTTCCCCAAAAGCCTAATATTACCTGAAGCCATCTCCAGACTGTGAACTCTTCTCCCTGTATCATTTGTGTCTCTACTCGGATCCTTGACTCGTTACCTTCAATAAACTGTACAGCATCATCCCATAATGACAGCATCTGACGTCTGTAATATTCATCATAGTCAATGTACATCTATCAGCACATAATAAACACAACAGATATCTACAGGACCACAAACTTTAGACTACTTCTCAATGTTTAATAGTGGAATAAGAACAGGTCTCAGCCTCTCAGGATACTTCTTAGTCTGAAAGAGGCTTAATTTATAATAACTTTAATATGTACTTCCTCCAGGCAGAAGTTATAGCAAAATATGACAATACCTCCATGTGTGAAATAGTACATGGTATAACATTTTTTAATCAAAGTGCAATACTGACAATGATGTAGATGCCTTGGTAAGTAGGAGAGTTTTTAGAATAAAAGCATATTTTACCAAAACTCTATTTAACAAGAGCCACGGCCGGGCGGGGGCAACGCTCGACTTTTACTTTTTCTAAACGCAAACATAGAAAGGTTTGAACATATCTTAACGTTTCCTTTTTATAAATTAAAATGGTCTGTCTTGTCACATTAGTTTTATTTATCTATTTTGTATATATATATATATATATATATATATATATATATATATATATATATATATATATATATATATACGAGGGATGATCAAAAATTAACCGGACTTTGTAAATGATTCTTAACCTGTTAAATGAATTTACATAAAAATGCATGGAAAATAAATCGGAATCTATCCCCTAAATGATACAAAAAATACCAACAAGAAATATTAACAAAGAAAAAAGTTATGCTGTTATTGGCATGCACATGTAAAGCAATGCGGCGCACGGTATAACTTTAAAATTGACGTTAACGACGTCACAAGCGTATTGTCCTTAACGGAGCAGATTTTTACTCATTCACGGAGTAGGCCAATAAATGGTACAATCATGTTATTGATGCGGCGGATCCACTGCCTATATATATTTCTGTACAAGTGTGTATCATATTGTATTGTAATACATGTAGGTTGAATGGTGATAAAGAGCTCCTGTAAATGATGCAAACTTCCGTTATTTCCTTCTGTAACTTGATTGTTGAAAAAATCGCACATGCAATTAACTATATTATGTATTACAGATAATGTAAAATAATGTTGCTGAATGATAATGTATCATACATACGAAAAAATAACAGAATAATACAACTATGATCAAAATTGTCATTATTTTAAAATGAATAAAACGCATAGCCAATTTGAACAGTGGCTGTTAAATTGTTAACACAATTTATCCATAAGACTACTGCGTAAAATAAGAAAATAATTGATGCAATTGTAAACCAAGAATACATTACATGTAATTAATGCATTAACTATTATCATTTTAAGATCCTCAGAGTTGACTGCACCGTCCCGTAGTTACTGTCGAACATCGTTGACAATGTCCGCAGTCAATCGACTGTCATTTTTCAACGTCTTGGCAATTGACGTCACCAACGTCCTTGAAAATGTCTTTTTTCTGTCTCTCCCTTACTTGTTTCTATTTCTCTATTATCCTTTCTTAATCTTTTAAGCTAATAAAAAGATATGCTGTGGCTTTCTGGAACTTTTCCATTGATAGCCATAAATTTTTTGTCTACGTTTTAAACAGTTTCTCGTCTTACATTTGACAATTTTTTCCTATTGATCGATTTTCGAGACATTCCGACGACATAGTTTTAACGCGAGTATTTCATTAACATGTGACGTTTGAATTGTGATTGTAAATATAAATATGGTTTAAATGAGGTAATTTTTACTGACAACGTCAAAGATATGGTAACATGACGTTTTGGCGTATTTTGAAATCTTAATGTGCCATATTGTAAAATACACGCAGCATAAAGCGCCTCATGTCAAGGCGAATTTACGCACTGCGCCGGGTGTGCGTTACCATGGTTTTCGAATTCGCTGTTACGGACAAGCTATTTGCGTTATCAGATTAGATATAGTATCAGATTACAGGTATTGTTTTCCGATTAAGTGTGATATATAACAATAAGTGATAGGATAAAAATTCTTCAATTGCCAGTCACAGTCCGGTTTATTTTTGATCATCCCTCGTATATATATGAATAGAAACACGCAATTCTACAAATAGAAACATGCAATTCAATAAATAGAAAGACTAAATTCTATAAATAGAAACACGCAATTCTATAAATAGAAACACGCAATTCTATAAATAGTAACAAGCAATTCTATAAAAAGCAACACGCAATTCTATAAATAGAAACACGCAATTCTAAAAATAGTAACATGCAATTCTATAAATAGAACACGCAATTCTAATAGTAGAAACACGCAATTCTAAAAATAGAAACACGCAATTCTAAAGTAGAAACACGCAATTTCTATAGTAACACGCAATTTCTAAAAATAGAAACACGCAATTCTAAAAATAGAAACACGCAATTCTGTAAATAGAAACAAGCAATTCTATAAATAGAAACACGCAATTCTATAAATAGTAACAAGCAATTCTATAAATAGTAACACGCAATTCTAAAAATAGAAACACACAATTCTAAAAATAGAAACACGCATTTTCTATAAATAGTAACACGCAATTTCTAAAAATAGAAACACGCAATTCTAAAAATAGAAACACGCAATTCTGTAAATAGAAACAAGCAATTCTATAAATAGAAACACGCAATTCTATAAATAGTAACAAGCAATTCTATAAATAGTAACACGCAATTCTAAAAATAGAAACACGCAATTCTAAAAATAGAAACACGCATTTTCTATAAATAGTAACACGCAATTTCTAACAATAGAAACACGCAATTTTTAAAAAATAGAAACACCTAATTCTATAAATAGAAACACACAATTCTAAAAATTAATACACGCAATTCAAAAAATAGAAACACTCAATTCTAAAAATAGTAACAAGCAATTTCTATAAATAGTAACACGCAATTTCAAAAAATAGTAACATGCAATTCTATAAATAGAAACACGCAATTCTAAAAATAAAACACGCAATTCTGTAAATAGAACACGCAATTCTAATAATAGAAACACGCAATTCTAAAAATAGTTACACGCATTTCTATAAATAGTAACATGCAATTCTATGAATAGTTACACGCAATTCTAAAAATAGAAACACGCAATTCTATAAATAGTAACATGCAATTCTAAAAATAGAAACACGCAATTCTAAAAATAGTAACAAGCAATTCTAAAAATAGTTACAAGCAATTTCTATAAATAGTAACACGCAATTCTAAAAATAGTAACAAGCAATTCTAAAAATAGAAACACACAATTCTATAAATAGTAACACGCAATTCTATAAATAGTAACCACGCAATTCTAAAAAAAGTAACACGCAATTCTATAAATAGTAGCACACAATTCTATAGAAACACGCAATTCTAAAAATAGAAACACGCAATTCCTATAAATAGTAACACGCAATTTCTAAAAATAGAAACACACAATTCTAAAAATAGAAACACTCAATTCTATAAATAGAATCACGCAATTCTAAAAATAGAAACACGCAATTCTAATAATAGAAACACGCAATTCTATAAATAGAAACATGCAATTCTATAAATAGAAACACGCAAATCTATAAATAGAAACACGCAATTCTAAAAATAGAAACATGCAATATACGTTGTTGTTGTTGTTGATGATGATGATGATGATGATGATAGATAGATATGTATAAATATAAATATACACACACACACACCAATAAATATATAATTATGGTCATTTAACCCATTACTTCATGAGCATTTTGTGAAAAATGGCTGTTTTCATTGAAAAGTCTCCCGTTACAAGTTCAAATTGCTATAATACTATAAAAACTGCTTCAACACTAATCAAACTTGGCACAAATGTTGACTGGACCATTGCCCTTGCAACAACATACTCAGGCTTAAATTTTCTGTTACCATGGCAATGAGGGGACATCTCAAAATTGCCAAAAATCACTATTTTGCGTTGATTTTTTCCATTATAATTGATTTCAAAGTGCTGCAACTTCTCAATGGATTGAGATAGAGTCAAATGCTTTTCAGCGTTGGTTACACGTTACCTTATGATCAATCTGGGGTCATTTATAGCCTCTCACAAGTCCAAAATTTTCTTGGCGATGAGGGGGACTCCGCCCCCCGTCAAACCCCCCAAACAGAAGGGGGCACATCCCCCTTCTGGCAACCCCCTGATGTATCTTTTGGTTGGGGGGCCGCGCCAAAAAAGTGGTCACTTTTTTTAACAACATTTCTCAAACAAAAACAAGTGTTAAGGGCCTAAATAATGCATTTTTTCACCATTTGAGACAACAAAAAGGGGGGGGGGGGGTGAAAAAGGCGTTAAAAGGCGTGTATATGAAGTAATGGGTTAATGTACAAATCTGAGAAAATTCAGTAATTAAACCTTCAAGGTCAAGGTCATTACAGAGCCCAAGCAAATTTGGGTTTGATAAACAACAATGTTCTGTTATAATATGAAGTTGATCCCTTCAATAATAGCAAAGCTACAGTCAGTTACAGCCAAAACAATGAAAATTTCAATAATTTGACCTTCAAAGACAATGTCATTAATGAGTGAAGGTCAAGGTCTTTCGGTATATTTTTAAGAGTTATCCTTGAAGATTATTATGTTCAAGTTTCAAGACAATCCATTCAAAAATAACAAAGTTACAGCCAATAATAGCCAAAAAAATGAATATTTCAATATTTGACCTTCAAAGTCAAGGTCATTTATGAGTGAAGGTCAAGGTCTGTCTAGTTATTTTTAAGGGATATCCCTGAAGATAATTATGTTAAAGTTTGAAGACAATCTATTCAAAAATAACAAAGTTACAGCCAATAATAGCAAAAAAAATGAAAATTTCAATAATTTGACCTTCAAAGTCAAGGTCATTTATGAGTGAAGGTCAAGGTCTGGCTGGTTATTTTTTAGGGATATCCTTGAAGATTATTATGTTCAAGTTTGAAGACAATCCATTCAAAAATAACAAAGTTACAGCCAATAACAGCATGAACAAGCAACAAGAGCTGTCGGTAGGACAGCAACGCTCGACTATTCTTAGTGCTTGATAGTAAAAAAAAAATGCTTGATACAGTTACCTCCTCCTGTTTACAGGTTGGGGTAATGATGGTGAACATGTGTGCAAAGTTTCAAAGCCATATGTCAATGAACTTTGAAAATATTTGAGGTATTACAAAAACTTTAACATAAATTCTAAGTCGAAAAAGGGGCATAATTCTGTCAAAATGCTTGATAGAGTTACCTCCTCCTGTCTACAACTTGGGGTCATGATGGTGAACAAGTGTGCAAAGTTTCAAAGCCATATGTCAATGGGCTTGGAAAATATTTAAGGTATTACAAAAACTTTAACATAAATTCTAAATCAAAAAAGGGGCATAATTCTAGCAAAATGCTTGATAGAGTTACCTCCAACTGTCTACAGGTTGGGGTCATGATAGTGAACAAGTGTGCAAAGTTTCCAAGCCATATATCAATGGACTTTGAAAATATTTGAACTATTACAAAAACTTTAACATTAATTCTAAGTCGAAAAAGGGGCATAATTCTGTCAAAATGCTTGATAGAGTTACCACCTCCTGTCTACAGGTTGGGGTCATGATGGTGAACAAGTGTGCAAAGTTTTAATGCCATATGTCAATGGACTTTGAAAATATTTGAACTATTACAAAAACTTTAACATAAGTGGTTACGCCGACGCCGACGCTCGGGTGACTGCAATAGCTCTACTTATTCTTATCGAATAGTCGAGCTAAAAATTGGACTTTTAACCTTGAAGGTCAAGGTCATTTATGGATGAAGGTCAAGGTTAGTGTGGTCGGGCTACTGAAAGGTCTTGTCCCAAGGGTTGTTGTGGCCAAGTATGAAGACAATACACCAAGAAATAAACAAGAGGGCCATGATGGCCCTGAGGTCGCTCACCTGTATATAGGCCCCCCACCCCCCCCCACAACGTTGCAGGGCCAATTTTAACCCAAGGGCTTTTATTTGCACAAACTTGGTAGACACCCATAAGAAGATGTTTCATGCTAAACATCTAAGCTCTAGCTCATTGGGCTTTTTAAAAGAAGATTTGTTTTAAGTTTTTACTATACACATATATTTAAAAACAATGACACCCCTTGGGCGGGGCCAATTTTGACCCCAGGGCTTTTATTTGAACAAACTTGGTAGACACCCATTAGAACATGTTTCATGCTAAATATCTTAGCTCTAGCTCTTTGGGTACTTTAAAAGAAGACTTTTTAAGTTTTTACTATATGCATATAGGGAAAATCAATGACCCCCCGGGGCGGGGCCAATTTTGACCCCAGAGATTTTATTTGAACAAACTTGGTAGACACTCACTAGAAGATGTTTCATGCCAAATATCTAAGCTCTAGCTCTTATGGTTTTTTAAAAGAAGATATTTAAAGTTTTTTCTTTCGGTTGCCATAGCAACCAGAGTTCTGCATGGAATTAAATTCTTTGAACAATTTTTAAAGGTGACCACCAAAGGAACATTCTTGTGAAGTTTGGATGAAATTGGCTTAGTGGTTTATGAGGAGATGTCATTTAAAGTAAAAGTTTACGGACGGACGACGGACGAAAAGCGATCACAAAAGCTCACCCTGTCACAAAGTGACAGGTGAGCTAAAAAGTTATGATCCAGGTACAAGTTTGCGGACGGGAACGGCAACGGCAACGCCAACCCGACTATAACAATACCTCTACTTTTTTTTTCAAAAAAAAAAAAGTCGAGCTAAAAAGGCATGTTCTGAAAGTTCAATTTCCAATTCAGGATATTTTATGAAATGTGTGAGTTATGAACCTTGTTTTAAAGGTAACATGAATGTTGATGAAAGTTTAAATTACAGAGTTCATTTTCAGTTCTCACAATTATCCAAAATATTCCTCAATTGATTATTTCAGAGCAAGGCAAAAACCTATATAAAACTTCAGACTGTTAGTAAGCTATCAAGATAGAATTTTACATTTCCTTCAAGCAGGGCTTTTTTCAAAGGTTGGGGAAGCAGCCCTGCCCTTAATTTTGGGGGAAAATTACACAGTATATTTGCAAAAGGGGAAGAAAAAACTTGATGCAAATTCAATTTTTGGGGAAAACTGCATGATTTTAAAGAATTTTCCTTTGGGGAAGCAGCTTTATAATGGTCCCTGTTATAAAAGGGAAAAATAAGCCCTGTCAAGATATGATTGTATTACCTTTTAGCCACAGGTATGAGCTGATCTCTTATGTGCTGTACTGCCAGGTAAGGGGGATAATTCTTACTATCATTCTTTCTTTCTGACAACTCAAAATTTTCTTTCAAGATCTCTGAAATAAAATATACAGAGATAAAATATTTAATCATGGTTGGGTTAAACTTCGCACCAACACAGTGAAGGTCATTTTACAAATGTGGAAAAAATGAAAAACACAACTGTTTGTTTCTTTATCATTTAATTTCCCAAAATCTACCACTAATGTACTATCACTTTAACGCAGAGCACCAAGCTAGCAATAGTTATAACATGACATTTCTTCTCTTTTTTTTTTGAATTAATAAGAACTAAGAAAATAATGGAACACATCTCGTACAGTATAATACCCTTCAAACTATCCAATCAAAACAAGCAAAGCTTAAGTATCAGAAAAGAAATAATATCTAAATATTTATGTGTACCAATGATTTTACTTAGCATAATATATTATGTTCTAACATTAAAGTGTTTGTAGGCCTTGTTGTTCTACTGGAACTGAAAGAGGTCGTCGAAAAACATTTCATTTCTATAATTATATCATATTATATATTTTCATAAATCTGCCTTTTATATAAACCAAGATTCCAGTTATAATTATCTTAAAATCATACCAATTATCTTTTCCACCATGTCATAAACTCTTTGCTGAGCTCGCTCCTTCCTCTTATTCTGCCATCTTAGGTAGATAATACCCAGCACTCCCACAAACACACCTGTAATATATCAATATATTATGCATGTTTTCTTTCTTAAATTGTTGTAATTATTAATAATTAAATTTCAATTTGTGACATTCCAGCTTCTATTCTGATGACACTATGAAAATTTGTGTTGTGGAAAGCTCCATCACTACGTAAACAGAACAACTGTTATGTCTTTCTGTTAACTATATGAAATGATTGTCAAGGTAATGCTGTAAACTGTGACTGTCATTTGGCACCTAGCCAACTTTACTGCTGTGGGAAAACCTAGGGAACCCTTCACACTCTTTCACTTACTTATTTGCATGGTGAACCAATCTTACTGATCTTTGTAAAGAACAATCATTGTGTTTCATATAAACAGACTGTGAGTGGTAAAAGCAATATTAACAATCTTAAACCTTTTATACAGTATCATTGATTAATGGTGTAAAATTTAAACGATATACAGTAAAGACTGTCTTAGCGACCCCCTGTATATAGCGACGTTCTGTCTATAGTGACCATAGTTAGGTGCGCCGAACAGTATTTACTATATAAATGGTCTGTATCATGGTTCATACCAAATTCTCCAAATCAAAATTCAAGGACTTTTCAAGGACTTTTCAAGGTAAAATTGTCATTTTCAAGGCATTTTTTTCCCGATTGATCTTATTTAAAATTATACTTTTACAACCATATCTGTGATATACATTTTTATTGCAATTGATCTTATTTAAAATTATACTTTTACAACCATATCTGTGATATAAAACATGTAAATAAACATGTGTATTTCAATTTAAGGTTCAAATGACTAGAATTGCAAAACAGTGACTATATTTAGAAAATCACCACAGTCAGTAGAATATATGAACACCAAAACTGTAACATATAGGTGATTGAGTAAATTCACACAACTCTATCTAGTTTTTCCTTTCTTTTTGGATTTCTCTTCCAATTTCCTCAACTTCCAGTTTCTTTTTCTTTGAAGCCCTTTCTTTGAATGTTTGATTCAGTCACAAATCAATGATTACTAGAAGTGGGTGGGGGTGGTATTGTCATGTCATGCACAGTTTCCGTTGTGGATTGGGATGGCACAATGTTATTATTTGAATCAGATCTACTGCAATTTTCAGTTTTGACATTTATAGTTCCTTCCTGTCTGACAAATGCAAGGCAACACTTCGTCAATGACGACTTGATGTCTAGATTTTTTAGGTGCTTTGCACCCCTCGCATGCGATGTTAATGCACTCTCTCCCATTTGCGACAAATCGATGGTTTTCATACACATGGTACATTGTGCTTTTCGTGGGTCTTGTATAACTTGTTTTACCCAACTGTATTGTTGAAGCCATTTGAGCTGAAACGTACATTTCTTAGTGTATTTTCCCATTTTTTACTTCGCAATGGAAGCTGACATTTTGTACACAATTTGCGATGACGTCATACACAAGTGCTTGTTAAAATCCGTGCCAAAACCGTAACGCTGGCTAAACACTACTAAAACAGATCCAAATGGGCGCACTCGATCGGGCTGCCTTCGTTCACATGTCCGATTTGTAGCGGAAAATTTGCCTGACCTTTACAGCGACAGGTTTTATACCCTTTTGGATTTTCAAGGCATTTTACCGAAATTCAAGGGGGTTTACTGAAATTCAAGGACAATTTTAGTGTTTTTTCAAGGCAACCCTGAATTCAAGGACTTTTCAAGGTTGAAACCAAATTCAAGGACTTTTCAAGGCCAGTGCGAACCATGTGTATGTAGCGACTCCCTGTCTAGTCCGTACAACGACCATGATTTAGTCACCCGTTACGGTATTTGAGCCGTGAACAGCGACTTTTGCAAGGGGAGCATGACTTGAACTATGTGACGTCTTTGGCGAAGAAGTCGCCTTCGGATCAGCGACTTTGCTTCAGTCGCCCGATTTTTATAATTTTCCGTCATACTTATTTACGCCGCTAGGTCTGTTAATAATTTGTTACCTCTCAATTACAACCAATTACCGTTAATCCGCTAATTAAGAACGAGTGTCAACATCAACAAAGTTCAATACACGCCGCAAGGCAAGAGTTCACTATGTTTATCTTTCTCATTACGTATTCATGATTGACGAATTAGAACGCGCGTTGTATCTACGGCAGTTTGCATTGACCAATCGGCGACACGCTAAAACACTGTGGCTGTTTGTTGACAATTACACAATATGGCGACAAATTTAATCAATTTTCGCCGATAAAATGATTAAAGACACATGCATATACATAATTGCTGCGGTGTTTTGGCGAGTAAAGATAAACAATGCCAAACATCTTAAAGGTGTGGTTATGTCTGAAACCTCGATTGTTATTTTTTTTTCGGAGCACTTATCTAGAAATTATTTGGAGATTTGTATCTAATGTTTTATTAATACATTGAACTCCGTAAAGTAAACAGGTTGATTATACAAAATTAAATGTCTCTACAGTAACATCTCATTAGTAAAATTGAAATTAAACATTTTTTTTACAAACAGATTTATCAATATAAATTACATTTTAATGAATATGTAACTTTTAGATACTAATGTTATGGTGTAGTTTATAATCTTAACCAATTATACATGCAATTTTAACTTAAACCCTAAGTATGGTACTATCCTGCTTTTCAACAAAATATTGGTATGATATGTTCATATATCCGAATTATATAGAGACTGTCCACAGTGACTCCCTGTCTATAATGACCTTTTTTCTTTTCTCCCATCGAAGGTCACTGTAAACAGTCTTTACTGTAACTGCAGAAGAAGAACTTATACTTACACACTAGAAGTAGGCACAAACCGTAGAAAACTGTGTAAAGAGCTAGAATGACTCTTTGTGAAAGTGATAAATCCCCATGAACACTTTCCAAACTGGTAACTTCTCCTGAACTATGTGCCTCACTACCATATTCATCATATGCCCTAATTAATAAACATTTATATATTTATTAGCATAAAATTTATTATCAATGTATGTTTTTTGTTTTGTTTGTTTGGGGTTTTACGTCACATCAACACAGTACAGGTCAATTTTCATGTAAAATTTGAGTTACCATACACTATATTCCTTGATTTAGGTGTCCAGTCAATTTTCATGTAATATTTGAGTAACCATACACTATATTCCTTGATTTAGGTGTCCAGTCATTTTTCATGTAAAATTTGAGTTACCATACACTCCTTGATTTAGGTATCCAGTCAATTTTCAAGTAAAATTTGAGTTACCATACACTCCTTGTTTTCTGGATTTAGACAACTGACGTCCAGTCAATTTTCATGTAAAATTTGAGTTACCATACAAAAAAAGTCTTCCATTAAAAAAAAATCAAAATAATATAAAGCAAAATAATATCTAATTCATCTTGAAGTTCAAATTTAGTTAGTATCTTTATATTAGAATACTTATACGAGGGATGATCAAAAATAAACCGGACTGGGACTGTCAGTTGAATAATTTTCATCCTATTATTTATTGTTATATATCACACTTAATCGGGAAACAATATCTGTAACCTTGTGTTATATCTATCATGATAACGCAAATAGCTTATCCGTAACAACGAATTTAAAAAACCATGGTAACGCACACCCGGCGCAGTGCGTAAATTTGCTTTGACATCAGGCGCTTTATGATGCGTATATTTTACAATATGGCGCTTTTAGATTTCAAAATACGTCAAAATGTCATGAGCCATATCTTGATGTTGTCAGAAAACATGAGTTCATTTAAGCCATATTTATATTTGCAATCACAATTCAAACGTCACTAGTTAAAGAAAACCTTGCGTTAAAAGTATGTCGTCGGAACATCTCGAAAATCAATCAATAAGAAAAATTTGTCAAAAGTAAGACAAGAAACTGTTTAAATCGTAGAAAATGATTATGGCTACCAAGGGAAAAGATCCCAGAAGCCACAACATAGCTTTTGATTAGCAAAAAGGATTAAGAAAGGGTTACAGAGAAATGGAAAACAAGTAAGGGAGAGGCAAAAAAGAAGAAATTTTCAAGAACGTTAGTGACGTCAATCGCCGAGACGTTAAAAAAATGACAGTCGATTGACTGCGGAAATTGTCAACTATGTTCGACAGTAGCTATTAGGGACGGTTCAGTCAACACTAAGGATTATGAAATGATAATTGCTTATGTATCAATTACATACATTATATTTTTGGTTTCCAATTGTATAAATTATTTTATTATTTTACGTAAGACTCTACTGGGGAAATCGTGTCAACAATTCAACAGTCATGGTTTAAAATCGGCTATGCGTTTTCTTTATTTTAAAAGAATGGCAATTTTGTTCTTAGTTGTATTATTCTGTTATTTTCTCGAATGTATGTATAAAACATTATCATTCCGAAACATTATATCAAAGAAAGACATTATATTGTTCATTGCATGTGCTGCAATTTGTCCAGTAATCAAGTTCCAGAAGGAAATAAAGGAAGTTTGCGTCATAACAGGAGCTCTTTATTATCATCTATTCTATTACAGTACAATATGATACGACTTGTACCAAGATATTCAATAATTCATAGGCTGTCGACCCGCCGCCATCAACAACAGTTACATGTGGAACACGTATTGGCCTATTTCGTGAATGAGTAAAAAATTGCTCCAATACAGACAATACGCTTGTGACGTCGTTAACGTCAATTTTTAAGTAATATCGTGCGCCGTATTGCTTTACATGTCAATAACAGCGTAACTTTTTTATTTGCTAATATTTCTTGTTGGTATTTTTTGTTTCATTTAGGGGATAGATTCCTATTTATGTTCCGTGTATTTACATGTAAATACATTTAACAGGTAAAGAATAATCTACAAAGTCAGGTTAATTATTGATCATCCCTCGTATACATATAATTCTCTCAGTCTTTAAACATAACTAAATAATTTGAATTTTGTATTATAATCCTACCTTATGTCCCATTCTGGATGTTCTATGATAAGTATTAAACACAACTCCAAAACTCTCTTTTTTATGTCATCCTGTAACAATAAATGATTGTACAAACTAAGATATGCATGTATAGATAGACAGAGTTATAGATCAATTTATTTCGGTATCAAAAATTAATTTATAGATAGATTTATTTTGGTATCATAAACTTCAAGCAATAAAAAAAAATCAGACTAGAGAGTGACCCACACATATTTTTTAAGAAGAACTCAATAAGAAGTCTGGACAAACTTAAAAATTATTTAAGGGCCATAACTCAGACAACAATCATTGAACTGGAAAATTCTGACAATATGCACAACAAAACTTTGTACAGATCATTCCTGTAAAGTTTGGATGAAATTAAATGTTTTTTAGGGGTAGTCCAGACAGACTGTGGAGACGTAATTCCTTTATAAGTATTGGCTACTTTGCACCATGAAGCATCTACTCTGTAGCAGATGACACAAAAATGTCACATGGTATTGTCACCATCAATATCTAAGCTCTAGGCATCAGGTTTGGAACGGCTTTTGTTATATAATTATTGTAAATTAAATCATGTAACCACCTAATCGGGGATAAATTTTTATCCCATGGCCATTAGTTTGAACAAACTAGACCTCCGCAAGTCGGATGTGTCGCTTTGGGAACAGTTAAGCTGTCACTTAGGTATATTTTTCTTAAATATAGGTTATTTAAATATTTGATAAAACACCACTATTATAATTTACATGTACTTTGAACTGTAGTGGCATTTGAACTGATTGTAACAATGTTACATCAGGATTGATGTAGCTTGAATAGCTTTTATTGTGAAGGAGAATTGGCTCAGACAAAAAATATGAAGTATAATATAATTAACAAAGGGCAATAACTCTATAATCATGAAGTACAGAGTACCAGTTCTTGCATACTGCTCTTCTTCTCAATAAGATCTATCATCCTTTGAAGTTTCAAGTCCATAGCTTTTATAGTTTAGAAGAAATGGCCCCGACAAAAAGAAAGTATGAAAATTAACAAAGGGCAATAACTCAAAAAATACAAGAGACATGTTAACATGGCCATCCCCCGCCAAATATGTTTGCTCATTGCAGTGTTCAATCTAGAGCGCGCCATTGCGCCATTGACCCCCTGAAAAGACCGCCGGCGCAAAACAAATTCAACTGTGGGCCCGATGGGCGCACTCATAGAAAATGCCCTAAATGACATTAGAATGCTTTCTTAAACCTGATTATAAGTACATAAAAAAGTTTCTTGTGAATAATATTAATAAATACTGAATTCAAAACTGAAGTTTGTATAGAAAAACAAGAGCATGTTGGTAAGATAGTTACCGCACTCGGTAACCCTTTTAAAACCTTGATCGCTACGCTCTCTCGGCCGGGGTCTGTAAATACTATGTAGACTTTTTCTTCGTACCATAACTATTACTTACTTTTGAGTCACAGTTTTTATAAACAAAACAAATCGTCACAGATAATCCAATACGTGCATGTAGTTATAGTTTTTCACGGTCAAAACAAATAAATATGTCATAACTTTCCGGAGGAAAAAAAACTATATATTTGTGAAAAGTGCGAGATAATTATAGAGAAGTGTGCATAAATTATTACGCACACGCCTTCATCCAATTAAAAAAGTCTTAAAGATGGAGCTAATCAAACACGATTGGCTAGGGGGTGTCTGACAATTGAGTAAATAAACTTTGATTGGTCTTTGACTGGTCGGCGCTAAAACATTGTGCATATCATTAATCAATACACGTGACGTAAGAACTGCTGCCTGACAAAAGATCAAAGGTACCGGTATGTCAATATACATTGTCTTAGCACCTGTTGACACTTAGTTTTTCGTTTGGAATATATTGAGAAGGGTAAATGTTTTTAACGACTATTGTAAGTTTATAGTCTTCATCAACAAAGCTAATTGGGAAATATGATTTTCTTTTATATACATTTTGTATCGGGCGCTGATTAAAAAAACTGAACATTATTATCAAATATCCATGGTAACATTAAAATAATTAATATGTTTCTTTGAACATTATGTCATCGTTTCTTTACCAATCAGTTCTTAAAAATTGAGCCTGTATCAACGCTAACAGAACTCTCAAAAATGGTCAAAATAATGTCATTTTTTTAGTGAGTTGATTGTTTTGGAATTTTGCAACCGTTTTTAGTCTATATATGGTACGTGAACAAGTAACTTAAAAGATACAATACCTTATTTTAATTTGATGTTCTTTTAAGTGCGCGCCCCCTTTTTTCTCAAATGACCCCCTTTTGAAAAGTTTATGGGCCCAAAGGGCCCCCTGGGAATTTGTTCTAGATTGAACACTGCTCATTGAAAGAATGTATATTGTATGTAGTAGAGCAGAATAATTCAATTTTAAGAGGTCTTTTGTAAATGAAAACTGATTGCTGAAGTGATTACAGATTTGAAACCTATGTGAATACTGATGGCTGAAAATAACAAAGGGCAATAACTGAAAAATAATGCAGGGTAGGTTATCATTCTTGTGTGCTGCACAATAAAAAAAGAAGATTTTTAATGTTTGTCAATTGCACATTGAAGTTTTTTTTTGGCTTCTGTGATTGAACCATTTGAACAACTTAAGTAGATATTCATGCAAGGAACTGGCCTAGGAACATCAAATTTGGCCTTGTGGTTTCAGACAATAGGCAACTAACAATCCTAAAAAGACGAAACTTACACCTTTATCTGCCAACCACTGACTACTATTCACATAACCTTTAACACTTTCTTTCGGCATTCTACAGTCATTTTCCTTTATTTCTCCCAGTTGGTATTTCCCTGCAAGAAAAAAAATTGAAGAAATTTATATTACTTTATTATTACACACTGTGCGTTACACAAGTTGGATATAAAAATATTTATGAATTTACTAGAAGGTAATATATAATATACATTCCATCCACTGTGAACAGTAACTTGATGAATGAGAAACCTATGCAATAATTTTGAGAAATTATGCCAATTCTTTAAACCAATCAATTCATTGTAAAGCCTCAATAAATTAACTACAAGTAAAGAAAACAAAACATTGATTGCTAGGACTTCAGAACTACAGCAAAGTTCACATGAACCTTAATTAGATACTTGTATTTTCAACATGCCAGGTCTTTCCTGGTGTCATACTATCAGACCAATTTCCAATGGCAAGTTCACTTATTTTTTCCAAATTAAAAAAATCCAGATCTACTTGAAATTCACTATATCCAAATTTATAAATTTTCAAAAATTCATTAAGAAATTGAAATGGACCAATATCAGCAAATAGTTTTAAACATTGTTTTCTTTAGATTTACCCACAACTTTTAAATTCAATTTGATATGCTTAAGCTGTTTTTGTCAGCTGTTAAATAAACAATGGATCACAAATTCAATTTAAAATAAATACTATGCTAAAACAACCTGCATATTATTACTTTCTCTCCTGTGCTGAGCTGGTAAAATTGAAGCAATATTTAAAAAAAGAAACCCAATTGATATATAGATTTCTTCCATTTTTTTATATTCAGATTTTAACAAGTTAATAATGAAACAAGTATTTTTTTCCCCAATTTGGCAATTTTTGGCAATAGTATGACTACTGGACATCAAATACTTTCTGGTCATACTTGCATTGTGTTACTGTAATCACTTGGATGTACATGTATTTTATTTGAGATACCTTTTAGTCTGGCTAAATCTTTGTGGAGCTTGACTATGATAGGTAGTGCCCCATCGTTGATTTCTTCCTGGCTATATGTCTTTAAATAAATAAAAAATGTGTAAACATCAGAATTGAGATTTAATATTTCAATCTTTGGTTTAATCTTAAGCTCATTCATTTTGAAAGATAACAGTATTTGTAATTATCATTGACAATTTTGAAATTTATCAACAATGATATTCAATCACTCATTCTTATTTCACATGAATATATCTTTTTTATCAACATTTCACTGTAATGATTATCTCTATTCTATAATACTTTATTCTTTTACATTTGTACAAAGACCAGCTTAATTTTTACATAGATTATAGACTTATTCATCTTCCATTCCTGAAACTGTTAATTTCAATTACAGGGATATTAGGAAGAAAATTTTAAGTTGATCAGCCAACAATCTAGAGCCTGGTCATAGAGACTATGGATGTGAAGGCTGGCTGGCTCTACACTGGGGGGCACAGGCCACTTTTGGTTCGAAGCATTTTCACCCTATTAGCAGAGGCCAATATAAATTATAAGGCCAATTTCAATATTCCTAACGACAACAAAAAAACTGTTTCAAGTTAAGATAAATGCTTAACTTGTTGCTTTAAAGAAATATTAAAGATTAGAATAAAGTATTGTATATTGTACTTACTTTTCCTTCAAAAGTAAACGCCTTGAGATCTGAAAAAAAATAGCAAATTGAGCAAACTTTGTGTTCAACACACAGTGATTTTTTAAACTTTTTTTGCAACAACCCATACCCCTGAAATTGTGAATTTTTAGCGTGATAATCTGTCAAATTGTGAAAAAAATAAACAAGAATAAACCATCACCTGTAGTCACTTTATTCATACATTTTAATAATTATATTCATAGTTTCAGCTTTCTTCTTTTTATTCCCTCAAATATATCAATCAAATTCTCAAGATTGTCATTTGTCAGTTCATTATTTTGTTTGGTATTGAAAAGCAATCCTGCCAATTGTGAATTTTTTACACATTTTAATTTTTGTGAATTTTTTATGTGTTTTTGGCGTTGTGAAGAGGCCTTATTTCGGGGTCAAAATCAACCAAAAAAATCACTGACACAGTACATATTTTAACAACGTGAACCATAAGGCTTTTTCTTCATTGCAGGGTTCTCACTAGGACTTTAAAACATGGAGTCCATGGACTCTCAACCCTGAAAAAGTTGGAGTCCAAAAGCGCGTCACAATTAATGTTTACAGATTAGTCATTCAATGCTCACAATAGCATTACTGATATTTCAAATCTTCAAGAGACTTCTAACGTTTATAGTTATTCAACTACATAGTATAATTATTGTTTTGATGTTAATATTTATTATGAAATTATTTCATTATAATGCATCAACACATGGAAATCGTTTTTTTGTTTTTGTTTTTTTTTTTCTCACTTTTATACCAAATCAAATTTTATTCTGGTTAAATAAGTCCACTCTAAAGACAAAAAGTTTATATTTGTAAAAAAAAAAAAACGTAAATGTATATAGGCAGCGTTTAGCGGAATGAATAGGAAAATCTTGTACAGCTTCACACAGTGTGTAAGAGATTCATCCGATCGACAATTATTTTAGCAAATATCTTCAAAAGGGGGCAAATTGAAGATCGATTTTTAAAGATTTAATGTTGATTAATTAAGAAAGGAACAATTCATTCATATGTTTGGCTTGAAAACTGAGAATTTTTGCGAAATTTTAGGGTTTCTGGCGAACGTGAAATCGCCGATGTTCGGGAAGAATCTAAATATCAAAGAAAAGCGTATGTGTATTTTGGTTTGTTGTTCTGGCATTTCGGCACAATATCTTAAATTCTTAATACTCTTATGGAACGTTTTAGCAAGAATGAAACTAAAGCAAAATTGTGCCTAGAAAATGCCGAAAATATTCGACAATAATTCAAAATTACACTCATTTGTAATTTGAGGAAACAGTCTTTAAACTTGCGGCGTAAATAGTCGATAGTTATTAATTTTATCCTTTTGTCGGTAAAATTTGCTAATTTCCAATCAACTGTTGATCAAAGATATAAAATTATCACTTCGTGTTATATCTGGTAATTACATGTACAGCGCGTGTACACATAAGTCTGATCAATGATCGGAAGCTTATTGCTGATTGGCTAATCGCTTCACGGGTAGATGTGCATAGGACCGCCTACCTACAGACTGACACGCGCTGACGTAATTGTGTATATGTGGTTGTAAAAAATCGGTAATGTTTATGCGTCCCCAGGCAAAATTAAGCGTACGTGGAATCCTTGCTCTGAAATATTTGCGTCCAGCTGTAATAAACATGCGTACCGGGACACCGAAATAAGCGTCCCCGAGAACCCTGCATTGCCTCATATTCAGAATTGGATGATAATAAACAAGAACAATTTATATGATGAAAGTCAACTGCTTTAAAAGAAGTGTTAGTGCAATGGTTTTGAAAACCTAACCTGTAAAATATAAAGCTATTAACAGTTCAAAATCTTTCACATAATAGTATCATACTTAATCAATATAATAGTTATTAATATAACTTTAACTTTAACTGAAGTACAACACAGTATTGTTTGTAAACTTTCATTTTATCAATTCTATTAATATTAGATAATCAAAATTATTAATATCAAAGATATGAAAACACTCTGACATCTAGCAAACAACTTAAAAATTTAAACTTCAACAGCATGATGATCATCAGTTGAAGCAGTTTGTGAAAGCAATACAGGGCCCTCGATCAACCAAATCTGCGGCCGATATTCGGCCGCAGTCCCCCACCAAAATAGTATGCTTTCCCCCCTAACAGTTGTAAAAATTCCCCCTCTATAATATAAAGTGTTAAAGGAAACAAATGAAAACTCATGTTGTTTTTGAAAATTAAAATCCATCTATTTGACGTCTATTTTGTTAAATGGAATATCGTTACAGTACATGTCTGCACGTTTCCGTTTGTTTTTTTTCCCCCAAAATCTACCGTCACATATATTGGCCTTTCATCCTGTAAAAATGCTAAAATTTCAACAAAAATATGCAGAAAAAATCACAATTCCCATCAACAATTTGATGTCACATTGTTTATTCATGAAATCATTTTTTTTTTTTTTGTCTTCAAATGTTACACATCAAACCACGGTAAATTTTGCCGTAAATTAATCAAACTTGTAAGTTTTGTTTTCATGATATTTATTAAATAACTGATGAAAAATGATCTTATAATAAACATCAATTTAATTTATATAATTTACATCAGAAACAACTAGAATTGTGGGATGTGTAAACAGAAAACAACAAATTTTTCATTTGTCACATATTTTCGCGATGCGATTTTTACGAATGTTTTTACAAAGTCAAGAAAGGAAGCTTTGTCTTATAAAAAGGGGTGTAAGACACTAGAAATGTAGTTTATGAATAGAATTTATAAACTTTAGGTCATGTATTTTTCATATTTCTGGAAATGGAGACATTTGTCTGAATGTGTTTCTAAATGGCTTTTTTTTTATTTTTTTCTTTTTTTTTTGGGGGGGGGGTGAATCATAAAGAAATAGCTAAGCAGCATAAAGATCTGATGGTTTAAGGTGTTAAAAACTTTTCTTCAAATCTTATCAATCACTTCTGAACAGTTTAGTGTTACCTATTTGGAGATTTTTTTTTTAAAATAATATGCATGTAAATAAAAAACAGCTGATATTTAAATAAGTTTATTTGATATTTGACCATAAAAGAAAAAGAGGAAAATTTCCCCCATACACCAAAATTCCCCCTGCTGAGGGTAGCGACCCGCTTCCCCCAAATTGGATTGTGGGCCCTGCAATATTAACTTTGAAAGTCTTTGCTGACTGACACTGCAAAACACCTACCCTGGACCAGTTAAGATCTTTCAATACAGAAAAAAATAGTATCATATCTGATTATTATCAACCGTAATATAAACATGGACTTGGAGTTGACATGTGCCAAGTTTGTATAGGGTCGAGATGACCAGACCTGGGTGCAGTTTTACAAATGTAGGTCAAGCTAAACACAATTTTATCTGTTACATTACCTGTTTGAGATGAAGCTGCCTCTTTTGGTAGTATAAGGTCTCTTTTCACATATAGATAACCAAGAAAGTGTGATAAAATTTCCCAAACCAAACAAAAAGTATTTTTAGAAACAATTGCCCAAATTTCCTTGGCTCTTGAATCGAATGAGCCATCACCTTTTTTAGGACTATATGCAGCATGATTACTTGATGTGTTTGCTTGACTTATGGTTGATATATTGTTATCATACTTTGATTTGTTAGAATATGACCTCTGTGAATTGTATGGCTTGAAGTCCTCTTCATCTAATGTGTCATCACCATCATCATAATTGAGTGTTGTATTTATTCCTATGGATTGTTCTTCAACTTCATACACACTCTCATCACCGGTATCATTATCAGAAAACTCATTTGGATAAATTTCTGACACCCGTTTGTTTCTACCACTACGATATCGTAGATTGTCTCCACTAATGTTAGCACCATTTTCACTGTCTCTTCCTCTCAGTCTTCTAAGAGATGTTCCATTAAACGAATTATTTGTCGAAGAACCTCGCCCCATTCGGCCTTTACCCCTCTCTGGCCTAGTTTCGGTTTCATCTTGGCTGTCGTCGCTGAATTCAGCAATTGCCGGTTTGGGCGCAATTCTTTGAGTCCTACTAGTGCTTTTACCCTTTTTCACAGGTGGATTTTCTTTGGCATAGTAATGATTGAGCTTTTTTATAAGTATCGGTCGTTTCTTTCTATCTATTGGGACTTTAACTGTTTCACCAAAGCGTTTTAATTCACTAATAATCTTCTCATCGTTAAACTTGTCCGCCATTTTGCACTGGCAGGAAATGGTATTGCGCATGCTCTATTGGTAATAGGACATTTCGGACCATGGACGTTTCGGACCAGACATTTCGGACCAGATTTTGGGACACTTCGGACCACATTTAGGGACATTTCGGACCAGATTTTTGGACATTTCGGACCATGTGTTGGACATTTCGGATCATGCGTTAGACATTTCGGACCATGTGTTGGACATTTGGGATCATGTGTTAGACACTTCGGGCCATTATTTTGGACGTTTCGGACCAGAATAAATATTTTTTTTATATATTATGCATCAATTATTCTATAAACTAAAGTGTAACTTTAGAATATATGAGACACCATGGAACGATTTTACACCTATCCCGATTTAGATTTAATATATTTTGCACTATAAATGAAGAAAATTAAAAAAACAAACAAACAAACAACGTTTTAATGACTCGTTTGCAAACAATTTATTATAAAAAAGACATTTTTATATTGCAGTCTGGACATCAATTTTTTACAATTATAATCAATTTGTTTAATGATGATTAAAACTGTACTTAAATCGCATACATATACTTCTTTAATTGAGTGAAACGTAACTTAAACAAGTTCTATTCAGCAATTAAAACGTGTGAAAAACTGCATTGACAAGGATGTCGTTGTTCTTTAATATCTGCTAGAACACGATTTAATTTGGTTAAAATTGACGGACAGGTCATTACTGCATACATTTTGAATATCATAAAATATAAAACTGTCAAATATTTGTTGCATTTATTATTAGAAAATATATTAAATACATCCTGAATTACATATAAAAAGGAATATATGATCTGGTCCGAAGTGTCTCCATCATGGTCCGAAATGACTATCACATGGTCCGAAATGTCCCAAAATCTGGTCCGAAATGACCAAAAAATCTGGTCCGAAGTGTCTGGTCCGAAACGTCCGTGGTCCGAAATGTCCGTAATTCGCTCTATTGATCTCCAAAGCCAACCTAAAGGAATCAAAATTAAACGAAAGAAAACAGAAGATCTTAATAAAATAATAGAATAGTAAAACAATTCATTTAAAAAAAACTTGCTTTGTAAAGAAATTATTACAACATGCGAAACATAAGCACAATATCGGTATAGATGGATACCGAAAATAAGCTATTTTCGCGAAAATAAGATCGCGGCTACGAAAATAAGATTTATTTTTGAAAAAGTGCATTTATCGTTTGAAATAATTATGTAAAATATATATTTATGCATTCATTGAATGATTTTACAGCAAATAGAATTAAAGGAATCAAAATTAAACGAAAGAAAACAGAAGATCTTAATAAATTCATAGAATAGTAAAACAATTCATTTAAAAAAAAACTTGCTTTGTATAGAAATTATTACAACATGCGAAACATAAGCACAATATTGTATCATTAGTCTCCCAGAAAATGTTGTTAATGAAGCTTAAATTTCGGTTATTTATTATTAAGAACCTATTTTTATTTTAATTTACGGGAATCAATTTAATTGACTTCGAAAAAAAAGGTTGATTTTATAAAATAATCAAAGGAACCTTCCTGAATATTAAAGGCACGTTAGGTCTGAAAGTAGAATATATTTTACTTTTTTAAAACGTCTTTATTTTGGTGCCCTGTTATAGTTGCTATAACTGATCTCCTTGGCTATAAATCTATGTCATCTTTTGCTTTCTTTGCTGTTTGGCAACTAGTAGAGTTAAAGTGAATTAGTATTGTGAATGTATTTCAAAATACTACATTGTTTACATTTTGCAATATTTATGACAAATTATTTAACTTATAGCACTTCTCTTTTAGGTGATAAATAGCAAACATGCTTTAAATACATTCTTACAATATTACAAAACAAAATTCCCCCTTTTTAGAAAACAATATTTCTATTAATTTCTGAAGAATAATGTGCCTTTAAGATTAAATAGTAGCATCTATAAAACAAGAATAGAGTAGTTATGCGATTGATGATCGTTCAAACTTTGTATGGAATGGTTACATTATCTTCCGTGCTGATTAGGAACCAGTTTGCTGACAAGACCAATGTCCCGACAAATATGTACTTGTCGGGACATTGGTCTTGTCCTTGTCGGGACATTGGTCTTGTCAGCAAACTGGTTCCTAACCAGCACAGAAGATAATGTAACCATTCCATAAAAAGTTTGAACGCTCATCAATCACAGCTGATGATATATAGATCATTTCCTTATAGAGTTAAATACAAAGTTAATTCATGGTTAGTCCTGATGCAAGTACTGACGGCTTCATTGATATGTCGGGCAAACCCATTAAAAGGTGAATGTCCCAGGTTCAAAGTACTTTCAAATTAACATGACTACCGTGAGTGGTGGCCTTGTGGTTATGGTGTCTGTCTCTCAACCCTTGGATAGTGGGTTCGAGTGCTACCGGGGTCACGACCATGTTTCTCATTTGACACCAAAATTGTAAAGTTCCAGGAAACAGACTCGAGAATGGATCAAATAAGGTTCAAGATTTATCACAATTGAGGAGCAGCTTATCTAAACGTATGTAGGTTGGAATACCATGGGAGTGTTAAACGGTATTCTTTTTCATCATGATGAGATTACTTTTGTTCAACTTTACTAACCCAAGTTTTCATGTGGGGTTCCATGATATTGATGATGGCACAATTATTTATGCTTCATATTATTTGTATGAAAAAAAAATGTAATTTTTAGATGCGGATAAATATTTTAGTCCAATATCATTGTTTGTTACGTGGCGTGGGGATTAGGAGTTGTGTTGGGGTGTTTTTTATTAAAACATGGTTCTGCTCGTATGAGAATTCTTATTCATTTTTCTGTAGAAACTGAAGACAAAAGAGAAAATCATTGCATTTTAGTTAATATGAGATTGTTTGTCATAGCTTTTTTTGTTACTAAAACATTTTCAATCAAAAATTGATAAAATAAGTAAAATTTAAAGTAATGTAAAGAAATATTTATGCATTTATTTACTTTCAGGTAAAACTTTGAATATGTGATTGTTATTATTGGTATAATTATTGGTAATATTCAGTGAGCATGGAACGACAATACGTTTTACTATTACTCAATGCAGACTTTACTTTATGATTCATACTGGAAATGAAACAGCAAGGCGCATTAATGATTTTAATGTTGTGTCGTTGTTATATAGGGGCTGGATTCAATAACATACGGAATTTATTTTGGTCGTATCAAAATTATATTTTTTTTATTAACTGCTTATCTTAATTGACTGTTGTGAGATGTTGGGATATACAAAGTAGAGCATTTATAGGAACGATTCGAAGTCTTTGATAATGGAAAAGGGATACCGAAACCCTTTTTGTGTTAGTCATCGATAACTGAATCAATCGGTCGTGTTATATAACTCATGGGCATCCAAATACCAATTTTGTTGAGCCGATGATGTCACCGAAAGTATTGGATTCATAGACAATTCGAGAATAAATAATTTCATATATCGGCGAATCAAACAAATTAAAGATGAGTTTCCGCGATGTAATGATAAAATAAGCGGTATCACGATGGATAAACGCTCGTGCTGAATGGAAAAATTTGCGTGAGCCACTTCCGATCGAGTGAGTGAGGGGTAAGTGAGCACCATTTATTTTCAATAGTTTTCTTTATTGTCGAAGTTAAAAAAAACAACAGCGAAAAAAAACAACAACACAAAAGCAACAACAACAAAAATAAACATACGGACACACACACACATACACACACACAGAACATACGTCAATGTCCATCTCAAGAGGTGAGGGGGTAATTAACGGGTAACGGGTGGTTGTCTTTATTACAATATCCAATGTTACGTTTCTGCACAGATTTATGAAATGTTTATATACAGAAAAAGATGATGAAATTAATCAATTAGAAATAATATATGACATAGTTTATAAACAATGTTCATATCTATACTTACATACATATAATACAAATTGATACAAATCCGTAACTCTCTTAAAACATTGTACACGTATCTTAAATTTATGTTTCCTTAATTATCATACATGTATTTATAAATAATTAATATTATGTTACGCGCTAGATATTTAACATTATAAAAATTATGATAAAAATAACATGTTTTTAAATAAAATATCTATTTTTCAAGGAGGTTTTAAGTGTATTTAGTTTGTATACTTATGTTGTGTTTAACTAAACATAAAAATATTCAAAATAAACTCAAGTGGTCCAGTGCACTTAAGGTTTATTTATGATTACTTCAGAGATATGTTTATGTTTTAAATGGGAAACCGCATAGATCACGCCACAGAAAAATCTTACATCATCTCATGTATAGTTTGAAGGTCGAATAAAACAAGAGAAATAACTTTGAAAAAGGATAAAATTTTATATTTCACTGACTGGATATGATAGATCGGAGATCGAACAAACAAGGAAAGGATAAATTTATATATTTCACTGGCTCCATTCATAATGGACTAAATATTGATAATGATAAGGTAATGTGTAAGGTAAGCACAACTGTTTATATTTAGATTTATTTTATGATAGTTTTATAATTGAAGTTTTTATCTTTTATGAAAGAGATATGTCTCCCCCCCCCCCCCCCATGGATGTACTTCATTAAAGTTTGAAATCAACACCTATTTTTAAAGAAAGATTAGGTAAATTAAGATATTTAAAATGCATAATTATTTCTTTTTTGAAGTTAATTTTTCATTTTCTGCTCTGTTTACAACAATTTAAAAAAGATAACAGTAGACGTGATAAATTACAGGTAAATGTAGGTTGACATCATATTATATGGTCAGCATCTGTATAAAAAGAATAGCTTTCCAACCATTATATACGGTGTTCCGTTAGGGCCATCGCTTATGAATGAAGAAACGCGAAAAGTCGAGAGAAAAAAACGAATGGACGAAGACAGAAACGCGAAAATACAAGAACGAACACGTGAAAATACGAAACGAATGTACGAGGGAAACGATTAAGTACAATGATGAAGATGCGAAGACATGATAGTGTAAGCCCGAAAACTCGACAAATTCGAGTCAATAATTATCGTGTTTTTGTCATCGTTTCTTTGCATCTTCATTATCGTACTTTCGTATTTTTTTTGTATTTTAGCGGTTTTGTACTTTTGCGTTTTCGCCATTCGCCTTCATGTAGTGCAGAAATTGTTAAACAAATGAACGAGTTTATACAAAAAAAAGACATTTTCAAAGAGGCTTTGTTTTCAATGAAATAATTGTTTTATTCTTATCTTAAATTGTTATAGATATAAAATGACATTTATCACAAGGATTAAATTTATGTTTATTGAGAATATACTAGTATGCTAGTCTAGGGACTTGTATTTATATACAACGTCAAAAACGTTATATATTAGGCCTATATATGAAAGTTTTTTTTATTTATCAATTTCATATTAAATGATTGGCCAAAGTATTTCGAAGAAAATATATACATGTGATTAATACAAGAAAAAAATATACAAAGATATGTGTAAAATTTAAACTGTTATATAGTAAGTCAGCAACAAATCTATAGGTGATATTGCTTTATTCTCTTTTTTGTTATGTGTTTATATATCTTTGAAATTGTGTTTAAAATCTTAAATCTTATTACTTCCTAAATACATGGGCACTGGTAAAAGCTGTTGGAAATAGTGTGCCATTGACATGGGGAAACTGTTTTACGGACATCCATTTAAAATAAATGTCTTGTATACAGTAGGTTTTTTGGTAAAAAAAATTATTAATACATTGTACAAAATGTTAATACATAAACAAATAAATAAAAAAACAACGAAATAACGAACTGAAATGACTTTCAAAGACTCCGATCATCATTCTAAAAATAAATAAAGTCCGTCGCGCCGGACAGACATTTTTTATGGTGACTTGCATACAACTTATTCATTCTATATGTAAAAAAAATCACAACAATTTTCGCAGGAATTAATCTTTTTTATCCAATAAAATTTAAATAAATTGGGAAAGGAAGTGGTGGCATTATAGAAAATGTACTTAACGGCTAAAGCCTCGGTCTCACTTACTCCCGGCAGAGCCCAGGACCATCCCGGTAAGTTACCGGGATGATCCGGGACGGTCCGGGATGAAATTATTGTTGCGGTCACACTTACCCCGGCAGCACTACGGTAGTTCCCTACTAACCACCCAGGATGCGCTCCGGATCATCCAGGCAGAGCCCAGGTGAAGCTACGGTTCATGCCGGTGCTTCCCCGGTCGTTCCCGGATGACGCCGGAAGAGCCCCGGTTGACCCAGGCAGAGCCCCGGTCGATCCAGGCAGAGCCCCGGCAGAGCCCAGGACGATCCAGGCAGAGGGCAGAGCCCAGGACGATCCAGGCAGAGCCCCGGTAGAACCCCGGTGGATTGAAAACTCCCGAAAATGATAACATTGATACATAATTTTTATTTAATATAATATCTATTGTTAATATCATGATGATTTTCTGAAAAATCCTTATGCCATACTGGATAGAAGGGAAATGGGAAGGCTTTTAATACAAACAAGTGCAGTCATCGCAAATTGTCGTTATTCTTTTGAAATGGTCCGGGCTTTGCCGGGGCTCTACCGGGATCAACCGTAGCTCTACCTTTATCCTCCGGGGCTCTGCCTGTAGTTACCGGGGCTCTGCCGGCATATACCGGGGCTCTACCGTAGCTCTACCGTAGCTCTACCGGCTATATCATACCCCGGATCATCCCCGGTTTGTGCCGACAGAGCTACGGCGCTTTCCCGGTATAACCCCGGTCGTTCCCGGCAGAGCTAAGGATGAAGCCGGCAAAGCTATACCTTCCCGGATCATCCCGGACCACCCCGGTGATATTAAATATTTTATTCCATCCGGGGTCGAATGCCGGATGTTCCCGGATCATCCCGGATCATCCAGGACGTTGCCGGCAGAGTTACGGATGTACCCCGGTTGTTCCCGGTTGTACCCCGGTCGTTCCCGGATCACCCCGGACGTCTACCGGGGCTCTGCCGGGGCTCTGCCGGGATGTAAGTGAGACTGTAGCTTAAGATACATGTAGTAAAAAGACTACCTTGGTTGACTATTAGAAACTCGATACTGGAGACAACTTTTGACATAAATATTTGAGGAATGTCGCTTTAAGTTTAAGGTGAACGCAAGCAATATGGCTAAATTGATTACATCAGCATTCAAAACAGAATATCAGGCACGATTCATTGCTAAAAATAGCACACGCTGGAAATCAGTCAATAAGTCGTCTTAGAGCGCGGAGTGTGGACATTATTATTCTCATACCCGTAAGTTACTACTACTTTCACTGGAATATGAAAACTATTTTTATAGAAGAAAAAAAAACACTGTGAATTTAAAATGAAGACTGATATTTCTTAAACCAGTCTAACGTTGATATCTTGTATATGAGAACAAAATCATAAAAATTATATCATGTGCTCCGATTTAAAGATGCATGTATGTGGTTTTCAACTAATTTCCCGGTGAGTAATGAGCTTTCATATTTCATGTATTTTCGAGAAATCGAATGTCGATTTTCTTCCGGTGGTTTTGAATTATTTTCGTTAAATTTGTAAAAAAAACAAAAACAAAAAAACATCTTTATATCCTGGAAAGTTACCCATTCATGACTTGTCATTTAATGCAGTAATCCTTGAGAGATTCGTGAATCAAACACAGAAAATAGTATTGCGGACAATGTCGTAAAACAGGCTTATCAGCAGTTATTAACTGTAAATTTAATTTTTAAAAAAATCCTAATGTGTAGAAATCATAATTTTTCAAAAAGCGCTCTACAGTAGTTTTTCATGAAATTTGAGAAGTGTGATGTCTGAAAGTGAAGTTTTGAAGTTTGAAGTATAAAGTCTTAAATTTGAAGATTGGAGTATGTTAACTTCAGACATTTATAGCTCACGTGGTTTGACTATTAGAAATGTTTCTCTCCATAACCTCCGTCCGTATTGTTCCTACTGGAATAACTTTCAGAAATTGCAGGATATGCATTGCTTTCTTGAATAACTTTATTTTATCGTCAGACTTTCATATCCATCATCTGATTTTCAACTTTACATCCCTAGAACAAAATATTGAACAATTTCGTAAGTCATTTGTTTATTTTGGAACGGCTTCGAATTCCTTATTATATTAAGTCTTGCTACATATGTTAACCATTTTAAAACCTAATACTTCAGATGTTATCACACATCCTTGTAAGCTCTGTTAGTTACATACTCTTGGGGTATAGAGCTCCAAATAAAATGTTTATTTGTCAATCCCAGCACATATACTTATCATATACATGTATATCAATAAAACTTAATAAACTCGGTTTAAAGAAAACAACATATTGTAATTGAATTTTGGGAGCAGGGGGCCAAGGGTCACCTCGTATGTCAAAACCAATAACTCAGCACCTCATGGACCCTTGGCCTTCAAACTTTATAGAAGCATTAATTTAAAGCCGCAGATTTCCCCTTTTGATTTTGGGGTCGAGGGCTCAAAGGTCAAGGTCACATTGGCATAGTTTGCGACCAATAACTCAACAACTCATGGGCCCTAGCTCTAAAACTTCATAGTGCTTATCAATATAAAAAAGTATAACATTACTTTTATTATGCCTCCCTTCAAAGAAGAGAGGTTATATTGTTTGCACATGTCGGGGTCGGTCCATGGACCAAACCTTTTCCGATCAATAACTTAAGAACACTTTCAGTATGTTATGGAGATTTGGATTTAAATTTAGATTTCATATTATAATTATTCATGCAGTACACAAGACATTTTGACTTAATTAAGGTCATAATTTGAACAAACTTGTTTGATACTCATTACCCGTGCCAATTAATAAAGCTTTAAGAAAAAAAAATTTTTTTGATCTGTTATATCTTTTGGTTGTCATGGTAATATGATTTCTGCACGGAATCAAATGTTTAAAATACTTTTAATCCATTCACCAAGGAACTATACCATCACATTTAATTGAAATCGGACTTATATCTTAAGAAAAGGATTTTTAGATTACATTTGTAACTGTAAAATGTCATCAAACACAACACATAGCACAGAACAGAACAGAAAACAACAACAACAAAACACATGACAAAGTTACCTACTACTGTTATCTTAACATCATACTTCAGTCTTCAAGCTTCGGGCTTCATATTTCAGACTTCACTCTTCCAGCATCATATGTGTCAATAGTGTTAAGTAAGAAGTGTGAAGTGTGTAGTTTGGAAAAATCAGAATTGCGCCAGCACTTGTAGACGCTTTATATCAGGTATGCCATTTCCGGTGCTACGGTTGTGCCCTAACTCTTCGAAGATTCCATTCAGACAGATCCTTTTTTCTGATGATTTCGGCTCCTGTGACTGTTAAAGTAAACAAAACTGAATAAATTCAGTTTAACTTAAAGTATTAGTAAATATGTCCGTGGACCGAGTGGGTAGGGTTATTGACTTAAAATCACTTGCCTCTCACCGTCTCACTAGTCTAAGCACGGATTTATATTACAATGTACTCCGTGGTCTAAGGCTCAAATCTTAGCCAAAATTTTCTTTATTTTCACAATTTTCACAATGATTTTTTTTTCATAAATAAAACAACTTAACAAAATGAATTGAAAATCAATTTTTATGTTTGAGATAATCATTCCTGGTAGTACAGAAGTTGGCAGTTTAGTTGGCGGGTTTAATGTTCGGTTCGGATCGGACCAAGGACTCATTCTCAAATCTTATAAAATCCAAGTTACAAAACACGAAAATATTCCGCTTTCTAGTTTTTTTTAATCTTAAATTGTTTCGAATTCAAGTACAGTATGTATAAATTTTCAAATTTCTTCGTCCTAACTCTTCGAAGATTCCATTCAGACAGATCCTTTTTTCTGATGATTTTGGTCATTTTATAAAAAAATGTTTTGACAAATTAAAATCGTAGTGCGACCTCAGCACTTTATAACCTTTGTTTTCATTTTCTCAACCCATCATAATATATTTAGGGGTTAAGAGCAAAACTCTTTGACCCGTTGCGCTGAACAATGCATCTTGAAAAAAAAAAAGTGTTCCTTTGTTAATTGATAATTTCAAAGTCATTTTTATTAAATCAAGTTATGCTTATATTGACTATAGCTTCTTAAAAAGTATCGATGTGAGAGCAATTTTGTTCAGTTCTGAAGTACGCGAAGGTACTACATGTTTTAGTGAATTAATTTATTATTTATACATGTATTAACTAAATGTTTGTTATTTATTGTAACATATTTTAGCGGAATCAAATAGGATATCTGCCAGTCTGTCAGTCCTTTTACGGCAATATCTCGCATAAATTTTTACTGACTATTAATTAACAGAATTCATATCTTGTATGCCGTATCGCCATGACTGAATAGTATTAGATATATTGCAGATAAACTAGTATGATCTTTTTAAATTTGTAAAACAGAAAAGAACAGAATGTGTTACTCCCAGAATTGATATCAAGCAGTGCCAAAACGGACGCTGGACACACCTGTGTTAAGACATTTTATCATGGCACTTATCTGTTATATAAATATTATCCTATTAGTTTGGCATATTTATTGGTGCAACACGTACATGAAAAACATGTGTAAGCATGTTATATTTGAATCTTTTAAGGCTGCGTTTAATAAATTTCATTAATTCAGAAATAGCTACATTTCATTAAATAAATTTGGTTACATATAGACTCCACATCTTATTTTGGTGTCCAGACAACCAAAATGAATTTTATATGAATAATAAAAACAGTTATACATATTTATATAATGCAGTTTTAACACTATCACATTACCCAAAACATCTTTTATCATTTTATTGAATCAATACTATATACCAAGCTTTCATCGACCGTATGCGAACAGAACAGAATATTTTATTGGCATTAAATACAAACAATATTTATAGCCATATAAATATAAACAGATATGGATAGATATTTTATTGATGTACAGAACATATTATAAATATTACAATGTCATGGAACGGTGATAATGATAAAATAAACTTTGAATATGGAGAACGTTCTTTAGTCTATAGTTCAACAATATTATTTATGATTGGAAATAAGTTAATTGATTTAATTAAGCTGAATTTATGCTAAAAATACTAGATTTAGTATACTCAATGTTACCTTGGGAGGAAATAGAGATTATAGATTGGACAAAAAAAAGAACCTAAAAGACGGGTCATCATGCCAATGATTACATTTTCCTTTGAATGCTTATTATACTTAATATAATGTTAATTACTTTTGAAATTGCTACTTTAAAACCCATTCTTCACTCATCTAAACAAGTTGAGAAAAACTCGGCATTGACAACTTTATTGTAAAGTATTCAGGAAACAAATAAACGTGTTTGCTTTAAATTTTAACACCCGCATTTAGCGTGTGTTTTAACTGTCAAAAATAGAGTGAATTGAGTTAACACATTCAATACTATACCGTATTGCAATACGGTCATAAATACGCACGAATTTTTCGTGAGTTCATCATTCGCTCTAAATCAGCTCATACAACACACAGCAATACGAACGTATATGACTTAAGTTGATACTGGATTAATCCGAAAGTTTTGAAGAAAAAAATTTGATATTGAAACATAAAAATGGAGATTGCTAATGGACAAATAAGCATGCAGTGTAAGTTTTGGATCATTTTATTTATTTTCTTGAAAACATTCTTAATTTGCTTTAATTTATTTATTTTTATTTTTTTTGGTATCAAATTTTTTTTATTTTTTTTTTGGCATCAAATTTTTTTTGCAGACATAGATAACAGAGATAGGCAACTTCTTAACCAGTTAAAATATCACGCGTTCCTGCTAAACTTAAAACTTGTAGCAAGTAAAACTTATTAACCAGATATCAAAATCAGGAAAATAATACATTTTCTGAAAGCTTATGCATTTGTCTATGGCTGCAGGTAAATATATTTACAGTTCCCATTTAAATAAATGATACATCGATTTTTAAAGAGAACTACTTATTAATTTTTGTTACAAAACTATTCATGTGACGAAAAAACTGGCCTAGTGGGTATGTTCTGCTATGTTTTTCTAAGTGAAAGGCATGGAAAGTTACCAATATTATAACATGCAGCTATAGATAAAAGATTTACCTTTCAAATGGTATATAATATTAAAGGATAAATTGTACATCCATTAAGTTTTATTTGCTACAAAATGCCTAATTTTTCACTTTTTTTATAGGCATGAGTGATATTTCAATGGAGTATATAGGAGCTGCTTATCTCTGTTATCTATGTCTCTGAAAGCAGTAAGATGTATGATAAGTTTATGATAAGCTATTTCTTATATTTTTTTACTGTATTGGTGCGTAGACAAGTAAATCATTTCATTTATAATCGTTTAAACATCATTTGTGTAAAATCGAGGTAAATGACAAAGATTCTGGTAATCTGATTTAAACTGATTGATGTGTAATGTATTTTGTTGACAATGTATCTTCATTTTAACTTTCATAGATCATTCATTATTACACAAAAATGTTCGGGTTTTAATTAACTGTATTTGTAAGATGAATAACTCTTCCAAGCTTATTTTCTTCCAAAAAGGATTTCTTCCCTTTCGTCATACAAAGCAATAGTTTTAATATAGTGGAAATATAAAATTTTATTATTATTTTCTAATTAAATGGTTTATTTAATACTGTAGGGTATCGTTAACATGGTTAAGTAAGTCATAGAATTAAATTCTTTTACATTTTATAAAATAAAACGTTGTCAAACATTAAACTGTTAAACATATCGGAATACTAACTGCTATTGAAACACAGCTAAATGAAGACAACTGTTGAAGTATATATTTTAAGAAAAGCAGCACGTTTTAAAACATAAATTGATTCTCTATAAAGATTCTTCTGAAGGGAGCCGCGTGCTTTTTGTTGACTATCATTATGTACTGAAAAACATGGGATAACTCTGTATGTATTGCTTTATGACTCTTTACGTTGGGTTATTTCCCTTCGAGTACTTGATATATTTGCGTACTTTATTGTCATTATTTAACCTTAGGTCATATGTGGTACACTACTTGACGTAATACTAATTAGACTTTTGGTCATTTAAATGCCGGCCCTTTGTGTCTATTTGATATAAACCTGTCAATATATTTAGGTCACTCTTTGACAGCCTAGCGTCATATCGGAAATGACCCGCCAAAATTCTTAATCATGTTTTCAAAGCACGCGTTTAAGTTAAATAATACAAAGAAACATTCTATGTCGGGATAACTTTTTAGATAGTTAACATTTTAGATAATGGTTAAAACAAGGAAATTGAAAAGTAAATTTAACCCGTGGGAAACGGGGAAACAAGTTTATAAAGTGGAATTTCCTCATTTCACAATTGAAGGGGAATGAAATACAAAGAGCAAAATATGTCATACTTGAAAGTGAAAGAAAAGCAAGTTAATCTTATTGCACATTTAATTGTTGTTTTTTTTTTTTGTAAATTTAATAAACATAATTTAAATCTGGTCTGTGTAGATCTAGTCTAATGGCCGCCTATGTACGACAACACGTACGGATTTAATCAAGAAAATCAAATTCAAGTTGAATTTACAATAAGCCTGTATGCTATATGAAGAAAAACTTAAAATCTAAGTTGATGTAGATCTAATATATAGAAAAATCAATTACTGAATTAGTTATTTGTGAACCCTGAATTTAACTCATTTTATCAAACTCTACATGTCAAACCTAATTAGAAAAATCTATTATTAATTCGATAATTTCACTTGGCTTACCAAATGACCCCTTTCGGTTTTCCTAGACAAAACAGAAAAGAAAACTGTTTCTTACGAATTTTTGGGTGGGAAATTCATGAATCATGAGCCCGTTGTGAAGGAAAACGCGGGAATGACTATGATTGGTTGAGAGCACTCAAGGAATGCCACGAATGTAAACTCGCCAAAGCCACACGAGGTAACTTGGCAGCCTTCCAATAGCCGTATAACACCCAGACACTTGCTGTACTCTAAAAAAATAGTGCGTTGTCTGCTAAGGTTTATATTCCATACATTGCAAAATATAATCATATAAATTGTCAAAACATATCAAAGTACGCTAGTTAAAACAAAACGCACAAAATATTGCGAATTTGAGCTTTTCTTATTTTTTGGATGTTAGCCAGCTAGCGTATTAATCGCTCTAGATTCAGACTACACACATTTGGGTTCAACGATCATAGTACACGCTCAATGTTTTGAATCTCTCATAACAAAATTGATAGTCTAGCGACGAAGACGTATTAGTGAATTCTCTTAGCTCTACGATAACTGTACACTATAGTGCAGTGAATAGAGCAGTGAAAATGTTGGGTAGAAAATTTGGAATATTTAACTGTTCGACTAATTTCAATCAAGAAAAACAAAGTAAGTTTAACTCAATTTGTGGATTTTAACGGATTTAATTGTGGAATTTATTTTTATCATAGTTTGCTAAATATTTGTTGTATAAATCTAGTTACTTATTTTGATGTTGATTTTCTTTCAGGCAAAGCAGACCCAGGAGAATATTTTAAAAGAAATTACAATGTTGGACAACTTTTAGGAAGTGGTGGTTTTGGACAAGTATACAGTGGGACACGCAGGAAAGATAATCTACCAGTTGCCATAAAAAAAGTTTACAAGAACAAAGTCACAGAATGGGGACAGGTACATATCTTTTTATTTCATCTAACTGTTTCTTTCATGTATATTTTGTTCAGAATCGCTTTCAAAAGTAAGGTTGTAACATGACTTTAATATGTGAATTTTTAATGTTATGTAGATCTAAAGATGTGAAAAAATTTTTTTTGTCAAATTATCTTTAGAGGAACTTAAGTTTAATTTTTTTTGTGTATTCTATTTCAGCTAAATGGATGCAATGTTCCTATGGAAATTTGTTTATTGAAGAAAGTATCACAATTAAACGGAGTTATAAAGATGTTGGACTGGTTAGATGCTGGAATGGCATATATTATTATTATGGAACGACCAGAACAAGTGAAGGATTTATTTGACTACATCACTGAAAAGGGTGCTCTTGACGAAAATACAGCAAAAAACTTTTTCCGCCAAATTTTGGAATCTGTTTCAAATATTCACAAAGCTGGAGTAGTTCATAGAGACATTAAAGATGAAAATATTCTTGTGGATTTAAAATCTGGTGAATTGAAGCTCATAGACTTTGGATCTGGTGCATTCTTAAAGGATACCGTCTACCTCACATTTGATGGTGAGCATTATTTTCTTAAGGATTTTGTAATTGATTTCCATCTTGTTTAATGATTTTATATGGATATTATTTATTCTCGTTTGCTTAACAAATTAATATTCATTTTAATTCATCTATTCATTAAAGTGTAAATGAAATTAGAAGAAACATTATAGTAAATATTTCTTACAATTTGTAAATGATTTTGTGGTCAATAATTTTTTTTCATGATTTTAAATTTTAGTTTAATTGTATTTTTCAGGAACTCGAGTCTACAGTCCGCCAGAGTGGATTCAGTACCATCGTTATCATGGCAGGTCAGCAACAGTTTGGTCATTGGGAATCCTTCTCTTTGACATGGTTTGCGGTGATATCCCTTTTGAGAGAGACGAACAGATTGTAAAAGCTGAAGTTGACTTCAACAACTGCAAAAACAAAGTCTCATACGGTAAGTTGTTGGACCAAAATCTCTATAATCTTCGAAATAATAGGCCGATATTGCAGTGTAAAATAATTGTGAAGAAATTAAAATAAAAATAAATAAAAAATATAGATTAAAGCTTAAATCATAGTGAACTAATTTATACTTATTTATACACAATTTTCTATAGTATTGAAATAATTTTAATTTTTATATTACTTTACTTTTACAGAAGTACAAGACCTCATCAAAAAATGCCTCTCAATTCGTCCATCAGACCGTCCAAGCATTGAAGACATTCTTGAACATCCATGGATGAGAGACTCTATTTATATGCATTCAACTAGTCAAAAAGACAAAATCATTCGAAATAATAGTGAAACTGATTCTATTGATGGACAGTCAATGAGTAGCCAGGAATCTGTTGCCATCGAATGATGATGGCCCAAGTGACTAGGATGAACAAATTCCAAAGTATATTGTGCAATCCAGCATATTCACTGCCGAAACTCAGGGAACATTAATGCATTTCGATTCTAGGGATTTTATGCCTGGAATATATCATAAACATGTGAGGAGTCCTTTCTGCAAAGCAGAGACTTCTGAGGGTGGACTTATTTATTTAGCTCTGCTAAGCAGACTGTATGAATTCAGTATAGACGTGTACATCATCCATGTAGTGGAATAATTGTTAATTGAATGAATGAATGATAAGTTATTTATTTGCGTAAATGTAAGACCAGTGGTTAAAATTGGTCACAAGTGATAGATGTATAGCATTTTATCCATGTGTGAAACAATGTATTTATGTATCATCCAGGACTGAATAATTTTTCGGAATTCATCCAGTTCGAAAACTGCCATTTCAATGCAATGTATGATAGAAAATGTCAGTTTTATCATGAAAGCTTCTAAAGTTTATTTAAAGGTCATTCCAAAGATTAAAAGTTACATTGTCAGTTTTCAATTAGGTGCTGTTACACTGTATCATCATTTCCAAGCCGATTTACCTGCCAAATTTTATAATTGTATTATCTGATACTTGCTCATGATATGTGTCGAAACGTAGCTATTTCTCTTTTATTCTTTGAAAAACATCAGATTTTATTGAATTTTTAAACGCTTGCAATTAACTAACATCGAAAACGAATGCGAACGATAACAATTCTATTTGTAGAATTTGTTTAAAGTTGTAGTCTTTTTTTCACCAAGACCAAACAAGCATCTTAATTTATGTTGTAAAGATGTGATATTAATATTAATTCACTAAATCTTAGTAGACTTTTATAAGTGTAACTTTCATATATTATCATATGCCCATGTAAATATCAATTATTTATTTTAGTTCTAACTTTCATATTTTGGAAGAATAATGAAATTTCTGTTTGAAATAAATAGGTACAACAACAAAACAAAATGCTCTAAATTGTTTTTATCTAAAGAAATATGTACTTTAATTCTTGTATTTTCCAGATTTGTATTTCGAAATATTTTTGTTTGACTAGCTTTGCTGTACTATGGCTTGGCTGTTATTTATTTCTGATGTTGAATTTTGCCTTCAATGAAATGTATATACATGAAAAGATATTTTTATATGGAAAACAGAATGATGAAAAAGTAATATAAAGTGAAAAAAAATCTGAAATTAAAAATATTAAAATATTAATGATGTGTTGAGTCATTTTTGTTGAGAATGTTTATTTATACAGTATGTATGTATATATATTAGACCTAGGAAGCAGAGCGAAGCTGCCAGCCTCTCCTGTCTGACCAAGTCAGAATATCCCTTTAATACTGAAAAAAAGATCCCTCGGAAGCATTAAAAGCGACAAAATTACATGAAAATTGCAGACTCCGTTTGATTGAGGTTGTAAATGAGCCATATTGAAAAAGTGCAACATCCCTCATGCCCCCTAGCACCGGCTTGAGCGGTACTCCATTTTATTTAAACAACAAAGCTGAAGCCGGGAGCTGAACACGTTTGTAATTGAACAGGAATACAAGATCTTGCAACAAGACTTCGAAAGAAAATGTATTGTTACGACCCTGCTGTAACCATTGTCAGCTTATTTTACCAAGCGATTTCTAGGAATAGCTGTACATGCGCATGATTTTTATCTACTAGCTATATCCTAGACACGTATAGATCCGCCTCTACTGAAAAAAGAAAATTATAATAAATACGTAAACAACAGCCCACGCATAGCCCATTCAGAAAACTGCTGTTACCTTACTCAATTTATATTAATTGCGAATTGATTTCTGTTTTCAAATTAAACATTTCCCTTGAGAATTCAATATCTAGTGCGTAAATACGAGGAAAAAAGCTTTTATTGAATAGAAATGTTTTTCATTACAAATTCAGTATATTCAGTTCAGACAGAGTTGTATAACAATATGTATTTGCGTTTTACAATAAAACGTGTTCGCTATCCTCTTAGGTGTTGTAAGATCGCATGCATGGTGACAAGATGTTCTGTGGGATCTGTCAGATCTTTCATGGGGCGCACAGACAATATATTTACTATATACAATATTCAAAGCCACGCGCTTTAACTAGCCGGTTATGTAACAACTGACCAGTTAACCGGGTCAACCGGTCAAACAAAGAACACGCCTGGCTACTATATTTACGTTACATACTGCGTAGTTTCCTATCGACCTGGTTTAACACTTACTCGCAGCTTTTGTCAATTGGCCATTTCATTATGAACGTCATAATACTTAACATTGTACTTTCAAATCGATGTATTGCTATTATTTTATGTAAGAAAAATGTATACTTTTATAATAATTTTTATATAATGTTCATATATTACTGTAAAGATTCGCGCGAAGACCAACTTAATGTGCAAATTATATTATTCATAAAAAAAACAAACAAAAAAAAAACGACATGAATTTCTTATTCTTTTAAAAACTGGAACGATTTCCCGCAAATTATAAGTATCATGTGTTTCCTTCGATTTAACTTTACTATGCCCCATACTGTTTATAGGTATATATATATAATATCATAAAATCCGTATCACCTTGTTAAAGCGTGATCACGGCTATTGGTATATAACTAACAACGAAGGTCGCCTTGGGATAAATGTATATAGAGCGTGTGAATGAGATTTAACACTATGAATGAAAACGTACTATAGGGCCTACGATCAAAAATCTTTAAGAAAATATCCCAACTGGAAACAATATCGGTCCTGTAGGGTAAGGACTGAAAAAGAAACACGCGGCCGTAAATTGCGCGCAATTTTGATGTTTATTATATAATTATACAAAATGTATAAAAAGTGAAAAGGGTGGGTGTTGGGGATATGAGTAGTATTTTTGTGACTGTTCCTTAATTATTATTATTTTTTTTTCAAAAATATGTAAGCGTATCTGTAACTTGATAAAATACAACATCATGAACACATGCTAAATTTGTCTAATCTATGGGTTATTTTAAGAAGAAATAAAACTTCAATTTAAATGTTATTAAGATAAGGCGGTAAACGTTATTTATAAACTTTTATAATTTGTTTAGTTTGATTTTTTTTCCATGGGAACAAAAATGATAATGAAATATGATAACAAAAATAATTAACAGAACTGCATAATGGAGAATAACAATATTTATTATAATCACATTGACAAAAAAATATTTGCCGTCAAAGGAATATGGAACATCAAAAGTAAATATTAGGGTGGGGTTCCAATATGGTTGAATTTTCACTATTTTGCCCCCGCCCCCCCCTCCTTCTTCATCTCAACTACATATACATTACAAGTACTTGTATATCTTAAATAAACATTATAATAGGCGGCAGTGGCTATCAAATATTACTTTAACTAATCCTGACTTCGGACTGGAAAATGTCATTCTATATAAATGTTATCTCTTTACAAGGTGCAGTTCAAACATTAGCAACCCGATTTGTATACAAATGTATCATGCAGCGGATTTTTTATAGAACAGAACAGAGTAAGTAGGTCATTGGGGGTACACGGTTCGAGACGTAATATCAGAGCTCCCGATAACAGACTGTGACCAAATTTATCAAATGCGTATTTCTAAATACAGGCGTAAACAGACCAAAAGGCACACGTGGTTATATTTATATTTATCTAGTTTTAAAATAACCAGTTCATTTAATCGAAGTTCATTGATTTTAAATGTAATGTAATCAAACAAAATAAACAAAAATGAATTCGCGTCCTCAAAGTGTATCGGGTTTTGTTAGTAACAAGTTCACATTTTGTTTACCATCATTTTAAAGATACACTTAACAAAATTATTTGAAAAATACATTATAACTAGACAAAATGTGATTCATCCGTAGCATAAAGGAAAACTTAAATTTAAAAAAAGGGCTTAATCTTTATAGGAATTCCTGTTTTTTTTTTAATATTTTGGTTTTCGATTATATACAATATAACAGGCATTGTATAAATATTAATCTTCAAACATATATCTTCGGATAAAACGATTCATTTTCATATCGAAATTAGATCACAAAAGGATCAAATGGATTATATCATTATCTATCACATGATTTGTTACTTTTGATGCAAACCTGCTTGATCATGTTTTGGTCATGTTTGAGATTTAATCGCAAGTGTATAAAATGGACACAGTTTGTGAAGAAAAAAATCAAGTCTTTGACTATTCGTGAAACACAAGTATAGACTTAAATAGTTTCTAAATTACCTTTTTCTATAGAAAATTGGTTTTCAAATCAACGGCGTAGTCAACTATGTTGTTTACCAGACGTGTTGATAAGTATATAGAAACTTTGAAAACATAATCTTATATAACGGACGAAATATTTCAATAAAATTAATCCAACAAAAACATGCAATCGCTCGTGTCGCAGTAAACATATTAGTGCTAGTAAACTTAATGCTATTATCTATTATCAATAATTGGTGTACAATACGTCGAAATGAATTTATTGTTAAATCATTTAAGATTATATGACAAAAAGGGACATACTCAAATTTTGACAGGTGTAGAAAAAACAACAATAATAGTTAACCGCGTTACATAATAAATCGACGGGAAATGTACGTATATACGCGCTTTAATAAGGTGTCACTTCATTATTACATATGTTGATGCGTATTTGCTATTATTTATCAATACAACATGCACTATTTATGTCCATAACCATATGTCCATTCATATCTGACCAACATTTGGGAACAGCGTGATTTAATTGGTCAGTAATTAATGATTCATTAACACCGAGAAGCCAACAGATTTTCTGGAGTAGCACGCGCTAAAACATTCCTTGACATGCGGCGCAACAGGCGTGAAATCTCGTGCATACATACGCTGATTTCTAAATGATAGAAGGGCACCTGGCATACGGGGTACTCTCCAGTATCGAATTACTATCAATCTAGATGACGCTAATGATGGAAATATATAGTTAACAAAGTTGCTTTTATCAGAGACATTTTAACGTCTCTGCTTTTATTTACAGTATTTTTAAAGCACGTATATCTAAATAAAGGGACCACTTTAGGATTATTTTCATTGTAACAGCACTTTAATGAATAAATTAAGATAACATGCCCGTTTTAGCACTCGGACACGTTGTAAATGTGCTTTTATAGATTTTATGATTTTATGAAACATGCCCTCGTTTTGTTTTATGACTTGAACTATATAAGGAGGTAGGTTTATAACGTCATTGGTGTGGGGATTATGGAATTATTGTCACATCTTAAGAGCGGCTGACACCAAAAACATTAATGGAAGCAAAAACGCAAATATTTGTTCTGTTAAAAATTATGTATATATAGTCCTTAAAACTTCTACAAACAATTATCATTGCAAATAGATATGTTTACTTTGTTTATTGACTTTAAACCACTCTGCGTCATCCTTGCGAAAAAGTGCATGTCATTTATTCATTAACCCATGAAAGGTCTTAATAATTGATCTTGCAAGTCTTTGAAGTGAACATTTTCGAAATTCCATATTTCTCGCCACGTGTGTGTAAAACACAATACAAAAGAGGAATTCATCTTTGTAAGTTTTCTGATTCTCCATAACAAGTATATACGCATTGTTATGTTATTTTAATGATCAGCCTTATACATCACAGTTTTAAGAGTATTTAGTTAATGCAATGCTTATTTATTAAAATGATGATTTTTCACAAAATATTTTCATGTTGTGTTTTTTTTTTGTCTGATTCAATTATAGTTTAGTGTACAACTTAGTGCAAGAA